GCGACCTTGGCTCGGCTTCGTCCAGAAGTCCGAAACCATATCATCAGTTGGAAACCAGTCCACACTGATCTACTTCTTTGCGACTCTGTCGCTCACAAAGAATTACCTAATGTTGATGTTCTTCGTTCGTTTACTACTAGAAACTTTGCCGTTCTATCTCTAGAAAAGCAATGTGCACTCTTGGTGTCCTGATAGACTATAGTTTCTTTAACTACATAGCCTTGCTCCCGAAGGAACTGCCTCGTCCAAAGGATCGATGGCATCAGGTCATCAACTGCTACGAGTTCACTCTCAGTTGAGCTTCTCGTGTTCAACTTCTGTTTCGTCGAAGTCGACAATGGGTAACCGGTGCCCATGGTCAAACCGCCTCCGGTATGACCCCTCATGTTTGGATGGACTCCGAAAGAACCATCAACATACCATTTCAATATGCCACTTCCGTCGGCTTTGAGAACTAATGGTAGTTTTCTACTGGCATCAAATTCTAGTACAGAGGTACAGGTTGAATCCCTAATCGCGAATCCCCAACACACTCCTGTGGTCGTCGAGCTTGTCCTAGTCGTCGACCATGCTTACTTACTTACTCCGCTTAGCGCTCCTTCTTTGAACGGACCTTCTTGTCCGGCCGTGACCCTCCTTGTTGGGTGCCTGTCCTTTGGCCCCTGCGCTGGCACTATGGCTTTCGCGCTTGTTGTTGGCTCTGACAGTTCCGGCTGGATGCTGTCGGCTCTTCTATCGACAATCCTTGTGGATTCTGCCGATGAAACTCTTGCTGCGTCGTTGACTGCAGTCTCCTCTTCGGCACGACGGTCGCGTCGTTGCCGATCTCGTTGCGTTGCTGTCGACGAAACTCGTTGCGTCGTCGCGGGCTTGATCCGTCCTCGGATCCTTCTGTTGCTGTCGTTGCTTCGATAGGCTTCTTCACTTGTTGCTGTCGTTCGAACGTCGAACAACAGTCTTCTCTTGTTGCTGTCGTCTTCGACAGGCTTGGTCTCTATCGGTCGTCTTCCTTGACGGGCTTCTACTCGTCGCGTTGTCGCGATCCGTCTTCGGATCGTTGTCGCGATCGGCGTTCGGCCGATACTCGCTCCTCTTGCTTCCTGCTACCGATTGACTGCTTCGATAGGCTCCTCTTCGCTTCGACTCGATAGTAGACCGCTTTTTCAGTAGTATGTTAGTTGCTCTAAGCTCTCTAGTTTACTTGCTATTGAGATACTACTGAAAAAGTGGGTTCCTTGGCTTTTTCTACTGGCATCAAATTCTAGTACAGAGGTACAGGTTGAATCCCTAATCGCGAATCCCCAACAGTGCGGTCCATTTCTCCGAAGGTTGAATGATCCAAAAGTTTTTTGCTGATTCTTATTTTAAAAGAAGGCGTACGTAGAAGCAGTGTTGTGCACATACATTAAGAAATTCTTATGGCACCAGAACACACTAACCAACCTGAGCATTGTCTACTCTTGATTCAATTCCTAACCTTACCATACTAAATGATGTTACTAGTAGTGTCCTTCGTCGTGATACATAGGGCAGCCATTGTCACGTAGCCACTGGATCACTTGGCTGTGGTTGTCCTCGCAGGCAGCTTCATATGTCTGTTCATCCCATGGACAATCGTTTTCACGAGCCCACATCAAAACTTCCAAATGACCACCTCGAGCAGCACTGAAACATGTCTCTCCATCCCATGGACAACCATGTTCACGAGCCCACATCAGAACTTCTAAATGTCCACATCCAGCAGCTCTAGCACATGTTCGTTCATCCCATGGACAACCATTTTCACGCGCCCATTTTAAAATTTCCAAATGTCCATTTTCAGCAGCATAGGTACATGTCAAGTCATCCCATGGACAACCATTTCCATGAGCCCACTTTAAAACTTCCAAATGTCCGTGTCAAGCAGCAGAGGAACATGTTGCTTCACACCATGGGCAAAAATTTTCACGAGCCCACTTCAAAGTTTCCAAATGTCCATTTTCAGCAGCACAGTTACATGTCAGAAAACCCCATGGACAACCATTTTCATGAGCCCACTTCAAAGCTTCCAATTGGCCACCTTTAGCAGCACCATGGCACGTCCATTCATCCCATGGACAACCATTTTGTCGAGCCCACTTCAAATGTCCATTTTTTGCAGCTCCAGCACATGTTCGTTCATTCCACCGACAACCGTTTTCACGAGCCCATTTCAGAATTTCCAAATGTCCATTTTCAGCAGCATAGGCACATGTCAATGCATCCCATGGACTACCATTTCCATGTGCCCACTTTAAAATTTCCAAATGTCCGCGTCGAGCAGCTCGTGGACGCACCAATTGCATCGTCCATGGACAACCATTTTTACAAGCCCACTTAAGAATTTCCAAATGTCCATTATCAGCAGCACATGCACACGTCCGTTCATCCCATGGACAACCGTTTGCATGCAGCCATTGGACCATTTCCAAGTTTCCATTTCCAGCAGCATAGGCACATGTCCGCTCATCCCATGGGAATCCTTTTTGTTGTGCCCATTTCATGACAGTAAGATTTCCAACTGTCGCAATTGCGGTACAAACGTCATAAAGATGATGCCTCTTATTGCTAGAATTTTCTCTGAGCCAGTATTCTGCACGTTGCTGGTTACAGAATGTTTTGTTGTAATGAGTATCAGTGCTTCCTGCAGAGCGACTTGCTAAAATCGTATGACTTGGAGAATACTCTAGAGGGTCATCTTTTACCATTCTTGGATTTTTCTCTAGTTCAATTTTGCAGTACTCTTTGTAAAGTTGATTCATCTTCTTGTTGGCAGCTCCTACAAAAGTGTACTGTCCAACACCAACAAATGATAGAATCTGGCCAATCCAAATTGCATCGTCAGCAAACAGAAGAGAATCGAAGGGAGGAGACATGTTCTGTTTCTTATTGTTAGCAATGATATTGGTAGCACCAGCACCAGTAGCGCCAGTACCAATACCATCACAAGACATGTTACTACCAACGGGAGGAACGGACTTAGCAGTGCCAGTCGCAATAGTGGTGGTGGAGTAATTGGACGAAACGACGATGGAGATATTGCAACAGTAGTTTTGAGGATGTTGCAATTGCTGTCACTCGACTCGAGTCGAGTCCGGTTCACGAGTAAAAAGATCCAAAGATCCATCCACGTGAAATTTGTCTCTAGCTAGCTAGCTAGCTAGCCAGAATCTCCATCATCCTGCACCTCGCACCTCGAGGAAACGGGCTCGAATTTTGCTTTAATATTCACGAAAAAAGCTTTTGAAAAATTTCATTTTCAAAACCGGATTGCCTTTTAAGAATGACTTAAAAAAAAAGACAATTATGATAATCGTCTGAAGGCTTTTAGCGATTGTCTTACAATCGTCTGGAGCATTCCTCAATCGTGCATGAAACCGACCCTAAAATAGGGTCAGATTTAGGGTCGGATTCCCTTTAGGGTCGGGTTTCGAAACCGACCCTAAAAATAGGGACGTTTTCTGAAAAATAGGGACGGTTTCTGAAAGACCGTCCCTAATTTAGGGTCGGGTTTCGTTTTAGGGTTCGGTTTGAAAAACGTCCCTAAATAGAAACGGGACTGCCTGGTAAATACATTGAAAACGCACCAATATTAGTGTCGGGTTTCGAAACCAACCCTAAAAATAGGGACGTTTTCTGAAAAATAGGGACGGTTTCTGAAAAAACGTCCCTAATTTAGGGACGGGTTTCGATTTAGGGTCGGGTTTTGAAACCGTCCCTATATTTAAGGACGGATTCCCCCAAACAGACCCTAAATTAGGGTCGGATTTAAAGTCATGCACGATTGAGGAACGCTCCTGAAGCATTGAAATCGGTTTTGGGCAGCAGTGATCCTTCTGATGCTGCATCCAACCAGAGGGATGGTATATAAGGGGGTTTAGAGTAGGGAAATTATCTACGGAAGCCAGCCGGGGCCAGGCTTAAGCAAAGAACAGTCGAAATTCAGGACTAGGTGCTGTGGGATCAGGGGCAAGAAATGGAGGACCATTACGGGGGGCAAAGGGATGGTATTAATGTATTTTAATAAGCGCCAAGGAAGCGGCAACGAGTACGTCAACAATGCAATTTTCAGCTAATCAAATAGATTTTTTACCCTGTTGGTGTCAACAACAGTTACTCTAAACACCTGCTACCCGTACCGGTAGTTAGCGAGGCCCGGCTTGTTTCAAGCTTCGAGGCCCACTTTTAACGACGCCCGTTCTTTCCTTTTCTATGAGCGCGATGGTGGCTGTGTGATGATTTACGCTTTCGTTTCTTCAGGTTGTGGACTGATGAGGTGCCCGCAGTAGCAACCCTGCCAAGATGGGATTGCTCAGTAACCGATTCGGTACTTGACGTCCGAGAATGGGCATGGGTATGAGCACCAGCGTGACTCTTTTCCGTACTTCTTTCAACTTCAGTGGGCCTCACCACCACCTCACTTGGGAGAATGCCATGGAAGACCTGTCTTGTCTCATCTTGTAGCTGGATGGAGTATCGAAGGCTTTGGGGGAGAGGGACTGCTGGCATGTGCTCCGACCCCACGATCAGAGCTCCCCTTGAAACATTGATTTCGTCTCCGCTGGTTCTTCTCACGTGCACGAGGGTCCCAAGAGCTAGGATGAGTTCATCGGCCCTAAAATGTTGGGTGTTGCCTCCCGCCAGGTCTTGGACCTTGTATAGGTTTTCTCGGTTGCCACCATCTTCCAGGTTGATACCCACCTCTATGATTCTTCCTTGAGTGATCCCTGAGATGCGGCCATCTTTCTTGTAGGAGCAAATCTTGACTAAAAGTCCAGGAGGATACGGTGCTTGGGCTTGCTTCTTGAGCGGGAGAGGCAGAAATTCTTCCTCGTGATCATCTTCGCCGGAACCAAAGCGAATGTGTTTGTTGCCGTCGTCGTTGTCGGTGCTTTCAGTTTCGTCAGTAGCGTCCGATGTCTCTTCTTCTTCGTTGTCGTCGTCATCCTCCTCCTGAGATCGTTCCATGTTTCCAGTGCTCCTTGGATTCTTAATTCCAAAGATGGGCCCATCAGGACTTGTCACAGGAGCTAATAACTCTTCTAACTCTCGGACATCAGCAAGCCGCAGTCTCTCACGTCCACGTTTTTTCTGGCATTTTTTGCAATCAGAGTTGCATTTTCCTCTCAAGTACCAAGCTAGGCAAATCTTTTCCCGCTTACTCCACAGCGAGGATCCGGTCCGTTCTTGGTAGAGCTTCCCGGCCTTCTTCAATTTGTGGCTTGCACCAACGATGATATTCTTAAACGCGGGTGGTCTCTTGTTCTTATCATTTCTTTGATTTTGGGTAGCACTTCTTTTTGATTTGGGTGTGGCTGCCATTTTCTGTTGTCGTTGGGATTCACGAGCATCATCACGGAGGGTGCTGCACCTACTAGAACTGGACAAAACTTGCTCCGGTTCCGCAACGCCGATGATCCGGTCCCAATCCTCGTCCTCTGATTCTTCCTTGATGGCTCTACCTGAAGTAATCGCCATTGATTGCACAGCATCCATAGCCGGAGTGGTACAGTACAAAGATGCCATGTGACGAATGATGTGGGTGAATGGATGGCCCCCCAGCAGCGGGAAAGATATCGTTGCGATGCAAAGATACCGGTGAGTCACTCTCGTAGAGCACCAGTACGGTACGTACAGGTGGTACCACTACTACAGCACGGAAAGATTGTGAGCAAGTGTGCACGCCGAACTTGGGATAGATGTGTGTTGGGCATGCTGTTGGTCTACCGGCACCAGTACCAGTAGCTAGCTACGATAGGTGTGTGACCTGGAGTCTGGTCTGCAGATGGACCACGGTAGGTCCTGTTGATTGAAGCTTCAAGCTGAACGAGGGCGGCGGCTCGAAACATCTCGCAAGAATAGACTCTGGATAAATTCTTTTTTCTTGGACACTCGACTCGACTCTGACTTGGCGGTAGAAATAAGCAAAAACGATTGCGTAGAAGCCATTGCTTGCTTGGGAGTCGCCGAGAGTTGTTCCGCCATTCTGGAAAAGAACGGATTCGGTCATATCCCCGTCAACTGGTACCGGTACACATGACACATGCAATTACTACACAATATTACCACCCTAATAATATTATGGAGATACCTACTATACGGGTACTAATTGTCAGCAGGCTTGACGAATTGAATTGAATGGATCCCGCATCCTAGCTAGCCTATGGACTTCATCTAATCAATCGTCGACGGATATGACATATCCATTGGCAGCGGCATGCTCAAACTTTTGGTTCACCAGCTGTTCGCATGTCAGAGTTGTTCCGACGGCAATTTCGTCATCATCATCGCTGTCCTCAATGACAATGGCCGTGGCTGGAGATTTTGCCACGGATGACGATTTTGCCACTGATTTTTTTCGAGTTGGTTTGAGTTTTCGTTCCGGTTTGACTCTTGGTGTGGATTGTGGTTGTTGTTGTTGTTGTTGATATTGGTATTGTTGTACCAGAGTAAAGATGGGATCGCCAAAATTTCGCAACTTTGTTGGTCCAATTCCTTTAATGCTTCGGAGTGTTTTGGCATTGGTGGGCATGTGAAATACAATTTCGTCGAGTGTAGCGTTGGAGAGTACCATGAACGTCGGTACTTCGAGTCGATTGGCAATGAGCAGACGCATGTGTTTGAGTTGATCGAGGAGGTCGTGTCGTTGTTGGACCACATGTTGTTTGTATTGGGCATTCGTCTTTTGTCGTTTCAGTTCTTCGGCCGCATTGGGGACCAACTTTTGGAGATTTTTGGGACAACAGTTGGCATGGTAATACCGGTAAATCTCCTTGTTGTAGCGCTCGGACTCTTCAGGAATCCCAAATCGCTTCTGTTGCTTCTGAATCTTCTTGCGACACTTGGTACACTTGGCCATGGCGTTGGGAGAATACTCAATCTTGGGTCGTAGTGGTTCATTGTCGGAAGGGTCCGTCTTGACGGATGATGGTGTGATCTGTTGTGGTTGGGCTAGAGAAGCCACGGAGGGTTTCCTGTCTCTCGTGGTTGACATTCCCATTCTCGCCGAACTACTATTAATAGTAGTCTTTTTTTGCGACGGTCTCTTCTTCTTCACTGCAGCTCGCTTCTTCCTGCCACCAGATGACGAGTCACCCATTAACTTCCTCTTCAGACTAGCAGGGGCCATCGTGCTGATTCAATTTGATGCTAATACTGACTACTAGTAACAACCTTCGCTTTCGTCTGCTGTCCGCTGTTGGCTTGGTTGTGAGAAAGTTCGTTGATCGAGGTTTGGTGGTTCTTTCCGTTTTGGCCACTTCAAAATTTTCAGCCCGCCTTCGCTGTTAGGTGACGTCATACACGGGTTCGATAATCCCGAATTGTTTTGTTGAAGTGAGGGTGAAGTCGAGTGACGAGTCGAGTCGAGTACGGGTGCGGTACGTGTATGCATACCGGTACTACTAGTAGTACGACTGTTGTGCAGTAGGGAACGGAACTGGTAAGTTTATTGGTACCGGTACTGTACCGGTACCGACAGTGGTAGATGCCACGAGCGACGACCAAATAAATGAGACGGCGCTTGATCAGTTTACCCTGTTAATTCATTATTTATTTGAAGCTTCTTCAACCAAGACCATCACCGCTCGAGTGGGTTTTACAGATCACAGGACCTCTGTGGAAACTCGAGTCGTGCAACCGATCGTCTCTTAAATCCTTTTGATCGTCTCCTATTAAACGGATTTCGTCTCCTAAAAATAGGAGACGAAACGGATCGTCTCTTAAATCTTTCGTCTCCTCTTAAATCGTCTCCTATTTTCAACGGATCGTCTCCTATTCTCAACGGATCGTCTCTTAAGTACATCATGTAAACTGTATGGTATCGTCTCCTAAATCTTTCGGATCGTCTCCTATTTCGAAACGATCGTCTCCTAAATGGAATGTCTCCTAATGAATCGTCTCCTAAATATAGGAGACGATTGCTTTCGTCTGTTAAATCATTTCGATCGTCTCTTAAGCCTTGGTGTATCGTCTCCTAAGTAATTTGCCGCGAATGACGTTTCCACAGAGGTCCAGTGGGTGAACTGTATGCATAATTCGATCGGCTATTCTTTATGCTTCAACACAACCAAGCTAGCAAGCATAAAGGTAGAGTTGCTATCAGAGCATTCAATCCCCGGGTACCCCAAATCACAAAAGATTGAATGCTCTCAAGAGGTCAATAAGCAAAAGCAGGCATTGGTTTATGTCTTTTTTCATCAAAGGCTACAACGCCAAAAGAAGTCTGGCCATTGGGGGCTATAAGTGGAGGCAAGAGGAACTCAGCAACAACTTACTTGTACGTACCGGTTGCCCACTCCCAAACGCCGAAACCATGCTGGGAGTTTTGAATCGAATCTTCGGTGAACTGGCACCAACTTGTTGGTTGATTTTTGCCGGCAGCCCCCATGCAGCTACAGTAGATCTATTTGTGAAGATGCATCCATGTTGCTCACAATCTTCGATCGTCAGTCAAGCTAGCGAATAGTCTACCCTGAAGGTTGAAATATTTACGAATTTGGCAGTGCGAAGCAAAACACCATGCGTCGAGAGGAGTCGTCGGCTATGGAGGCCGCCGCGTCTCAGCAAAACAACACTGTGGACCCTCAGCTTGATGATGATGATCATCTACAACGACAGGCAACCACCAACGAGTTGGAGATTGTGCATCTTGCAATGCAGAGTTCGTTTCGTCGTGAACAAGAGAATATGGAAAACAGATACAGAATGGCACGTGATGAGCAGCAAGACCTGGAGAATCATCAAGCAAAAAGAGAGCAGAACGAAGAGGATAAAACGCAAAAGGATACTATGAAAAGTGCTGTGACGAGGAGAGCCTCGAGTATGGAATCGAATCCGATGTCTACTACGGAGACTGAGATGACCTCGTCATCTGAGATGGGGTCGTCAGAGTTGGCTGCCGGTGTTTTGACCGCGTCCTCGAATGTGCCCAACGAAGTGTCTCAATTTGAAACTGCGCTTGCTTCAAAATCTGTCCTACACACTGTACCGGTAACCGTGATGTCCACCGAACAGCCCGCCAACGAGGGTACTACGATTCAGGTTGCGACGCCCAAAGGGGGCAGTGATAAGGAAGCACAATCAAATGTGGAAGACGTGCCTCCAGCTACTCAACCAGTCTTGCAGGCACCGCGGCTTCAAAGGACAACTGCGGGAAGACCACAAGTCCAGCCTGGTGCTTTCTCCGCGAACAGTGGCATTCAAGAACGTAGGGAACCCTTCAACGTCCAGCTCGGAACACTTCCAGGAGAAGATCATCCCAGGCCTGTGGTCAATGCGCCGCCGCCCCAGCAGGATACAAATGCAGGATTGGCAGTTGCCAATGAGGTTATGGAGGAGGGACGGTTCCAAGAGTTACCACAAGCAGAGAATTTTGCTTTTGAAGAGGCCGAAAGGGCAAGGCAGTTGCAACGCAAAAAAGAAAAATGGACTGGACTCCTGATTGGTGGTCTTGCTGTCCTTGCACTATTGACCTTTGTGTTGTCCTTTGTGTTGTCGGATGGCCCAGCCACGAACACCACGAGCCTTCCTCCTGTAACGCAAAACACAAGCTTTCCATCGCAAGCTCCAAGTTTCTCTCGCGAGGTCTACATGTTGAACTTGCTTCCAGAAGTGTCAGTGTCCAAGATGAACAAAGTTGGTTCGCCTCAGGAAGAGGCATTCAACTGGATGACAGAGGATCCAAACTTTTGGGCATACAGTGATGCCAGGAGGTTGCAACGCTTTGCGCTTGCAACTTTCTTCTACTCAACTCATGGAGCAAGTTGGACCAACAACACAAACTGGATGTCTTACGGGCACCATGAATGCCAGTGGTTTTCACGTGATGTAAGAGTTCTACCAGATCCACGATCGCCTGCCAGGATGCTCTATGAAGGTCTGGCCAACGTAACCTCATTCCCTTGTGATAGCATCGCATCAACCAATCAAGACTCTGGCTACAGTGAAGACCAAGAGTACATCCATTTGTGGTTCTACCAGAATAGTCTGCGCGGAAAAATGCCTGATGAGGTGCATTTGTTGACATCACTCCAAACCATTATTCTTGATGTGAATGATGAGTTGACAGGTTCAGTTCCCTCACTCATTGGTCAACTCACATCACTGAAATGGCTCAGCTTGGCCCCTTCTGACATTGGTGGGACCATTCCAACAGAAATTGGGATGCTTTCAGACCTGCAAGAGCTTTACCTGTCCAATCCCAATATCTTTGGCACACTTCCATCCGAGCTAGGCTTGCTCACTAACCTGGAATATGGATTGTCTTTCCTTCAGACTAACATTTCTGGTACGATTCCAACAGAGTTGGGATTGTTGAGCAAGTTGGATTGGCTCTACCTCTTTGGCAGCCAGCTTTCAGGAAATGTGCCAAGTGAACTAGCACAACTGGATGAGGTCTTGCAAATCTCACTGCAAAGCAACCAGTTGAATGGGACCATTCCTTCAGAGCTGGGATCTATGAAGAATTTGCAATGGTTGATTCTGTCTTACAATGACCTGTCAGGTGGAATTCCATCTGAGTTTGGGAGGATGGAAAACCTCTTTTACCTTCTGCTGGTTCAAGCTGGATTGACAGGTACCATTCCCAGTGAGCTGGGAAACATGAAAAGCCTGTTCTCACTCTATTTGTATTACAACCAACTGTCTGGCCCTCTGCCAACTGAGCTTGGTATGCTGACCCAGCTAGATTATCTGGATATTTACAGTAATCTCTTCTCTGGACAAATCCCAACGGAACTAGGACAAATGGAGAGATTGCAGGACCTTTCACTGCAATACTTGATGCTCTCTGGCACCATACCGTCAGAGCTTGGAGAGTTGAAGATGCTGCAAGGATTGTTTCTGGAACAAAATTCAATGTTGAGTGGTACGATTCCAAAAGAGATCAACTCACTAGTCAGCGAGGGATCTCTGCGTTTGTTGAATATCACTGGCACGAGGCTCTCAGGCGAGATTTCGGAAGAGATTTGTGGCATTGGGAGCAATCTTTCCTCTGGAGAGTGTCCCTGGTGGTACCCAGCATGTACCTTGGAATTTGATTGCAGTGATATCCTGTGTGGCTGCTACTGCCCATGTCTCACCATGGATCTTGGGGGAGGAGGTGAAAGTCTGGTGGATACTGGCACTGGCGAAGTCGTGGCCGCAGAGAGTCGTTCCCATGTTGCTTCCTCCTCACCTTAGCTGAATGCAACCAAGCCAAAGTCACAGCTACCGTACTTACAAACATGCATGTTTGCATAAAATCATACATTTCTTTTTAGCCATGATATGGAGGAATTGCTCGAGTTTGCTAGTAGTGCTGTGAGTGGAGTCCTCAGGCTGGCGAGCTTCCATTGCCTACCCTTTCTAAACTTTGGATTCCACGCAGCTAGCTAGACAGTAGTTGCTATTTGAGGACTTGCGAGTGTACATTGTGTTACCGGTAAAGGTGGAGTTAGTCAGCTTGTTACCATGCTATGATGCTTCCAAACAAAGGGCCGACGCATGAATGAGAGGTCAAACTGGTGTCAACCCGCGCCAACCCTTGGCCCGCCATCAGGCGCCAGCGGTGTGGCTCGGCACACTTGGGACATCCGGCGGTTTGCCTCGGCATGCGTTTTTGTTTGGTACGAAAGCAACGGACGGTGTGACACGGTTCTCTTGCACACACGACCACGCGGCTTCTCGCTTTCTTTTCTTCTCTCTCGAACCTCACTCCGCCATTTTGCCTCGTTGATTTACAGTGGCACATACAACCAACACAACATTCAAACCTTGCGGCAGAGTGGTTGTGTGGATTGATTGATCATTCGAAGGACGAGAAAGTTTGTGGTAAGTCATATTGTGGGAGTGCTGTGGCGGTCTCTTGTTGTATGGCTTCCTGCGGTTGGAAGAGAGTGATTGGCGAAGATGGATCTAACCGTGTAGTATGACAATGTCGTGACAGGACGAGAAGAGTGACAGGACGAGTAGAGTAGGTGGAACGAAACCCAAAGTACCGTTCAAACGTGTTGGAAACAACAGACAAAGCAAGAAACACAACAAACAACAACAACCATCATGGTAGGCGATCCAAGAGAGACAAATATGCTGGTCGTAAACCAACTCCCGCGGCAGCAGCTAGCAGAACCGGAACCTTGCGAGGATAGCGACAGCAGCAGCAATGATGGCAATGAACTCTTTCTGACAATGTCGAAAAGTCAAGCTGCCAAGACTAAGTTTCCTCCTGGTAAGTGACGAGACGAGACTAGAGAGAGGAGTGACATCTCACATCATTCATGCTCACATTCATGATCTTTTTTGCTTAGGCTGTCCCATTATGATGTCCGTCTCTTCTCCCAAGATGCCTCAGTTGATTACGCAAGTACTCCAAGGGACTGTAGAGAAGGTTGGCGTTCTAGTGATTGGTGGTCAGGTGGAAGGTGGCAACATTTATCAGGTTCAAGTTGCAGGGGATGACACGTTCCGACGCGTGCCAGAGAAGGATTTGGTCATTGGTCTGGGGGCACCCGTCTGGTTTCATGCTTCTGGTACATTTGAGGAGGGAATGATTCTGGCATCACAACAAGTGCCATCCATCATGGTGGCTCATGGCAGTGCGGATGTCGTCTATTCCATTCAAGCCACAACCAGCAGTCCTTTTCTGGTTCATCACGGGGTCCAACCGCATCAAGTCTTTTTCAAAGCGAAAAAGTTGACACTCGATGGCGTCAAATCAATCTACAAGAAACGAATCAAGAAACTCGCCGCTCAACAACAACAGCAACAACAACAACAACAACAACCACAAAGTACACTCATCTTGCCGGAATCTGCCAAGAAGGAAGAACAAGAAGGGGCGGATCAGGAACAAGGGAACATCATCCAAGAGCTGGACAGCATGGGATCGGTCCAACAACACAAAGACTGCAGCAATAGTGGGATTCAGCAGATGCACAACCAAGGACGAGAGCAGGAGGAACAAGAGCTAGAGCAGCAAGAAATGGAAGAAGAACAACCTCAACAAGAAATGGGAGAACAGCAGTGGGCACAGCAACAATTCGAGGAAGAGCCGCAGCAGCAACATGACCAATCTCCCCTCCGAGATGAGCAGCTGGAAGAACTTTTCCTACGAGATCCGCCACATGGTTTAGACCATGGAGGGCCCGAGGAGTCATCAATGCAGATGATGGAGGATAGACCCAACTCGCCGAGAGTCTCTGTTGTGCCGCCAGATTCTGTTCCGTCGGATCCTTCTGTGGTGGATGGGGAAGAGAATGTTGCCATTCGAGAGCAGCACCAAGAGCAAGACAAGGAAGTAGCTGAGGAGTTGTCAGAGACGGAGGTGAATCCGACTCTCAAATCGAGAAGAGTTTCTGTTATGCAGCCGGATGCAGTTGTTGCATCTGATCCCGCTCTGATGCAGCAAGATTTTTCGCTAGGCGATGACCAGCAAGACCAGCAAGGAGCCAACGAGACGCCAGAGCCAGTGTGGAACTCGCCTCCCAAATCCCGAAGAGTCTCTATTATGCAACCGGATTCTGTCGAGTCTAATCCTTGTTTGACGCCGCATGCGGAAAATGTCGTTGATGGAAGGGTTGGCGGCAAAAGCAGTAGTCTGCAAAGAGTTTCCGCGGTCCAGCCCATGGCGGAGGAACTGGAGGCAGTGACGGATACTGAGGCGCTACCGACTTCCTCTGGTACTGATAGCGAGAACACCAGCGTGCCCAAGGTCCGAATCAAGTTGGAGCAAGATTGTTGCTATACTGCAAGCGTCAGCACCCCTGCTAAAGTACATCAAGACACTATGGACAGTGTCAATACCGCCGTGAGTCCACCCTGCCCCAAACCATCTCGAGCACGAATGGTGTCCACAACTACGACTACATTGCAAGAGGACGACACTCAGGGATACCACCCAACTGCCACTCTTGCGGAGTTGGCGGCGATGCAAGATGCAGAACCCACAGCAACATTGGAAACAACAGAACGAACCAAGGGCACTAGTGCTAATAGATGCCCGACGCCTGAATGTGCCGCTGATCTGCGAGCTGCCCGTACACCGGACGTTGTGCCGTCCGCTGCAGCGCCAATAGAGGCTGAGAAGCGGGCAACGACGTCTGTACCGCCACTCGCACGAGACGACAGTTTGTCTCCAGTGGAGTGCCACAACGGTGACGCAGGTGGTGACACGGTTGGCGTTGGCGGTAACCAAAAGAACAGTGGGGATGGGACGGGAAAACAAGAACGAGCTTTTGCGCCTGCTGCGGGGCCATGCGATTCTTCGACCGACGATGATGTTGACAATCCTTTTGCGCCTCGTCGCGCTCCCGTCAAACTCAAACTGAAGCTAAAGATACCAGGAAAGCAGAAGAAACAGCCCACAAAGAAGAAGTGCCAATTCTTCGATGACAAAGATGATTCTCCTTCTCCGTCACCATCAAAGGGGAAGAAGCGATTGAGGAAGAAGAAACGTCTTTCGAACTCTGATGAAGAGGCTGGGAATTGTATTATTCCTACTGCATCACGAGGGAAGAAGATGCAAAAGAAGAAACAACCATCGGTTCTCGATTATGATGGGGACAATGACGATACCTCAACAAAACGACCAGGGAAAAAGCTGAAAAAGAAGCACAAAAAGCAGATGCTTTCTATCATGGACAGGGATGATGGTTCTTTGAATGGGGTGTCTGTTTCCAGCGCTGGGGAGGATGCATCCTTTCGCGAGCCTAAGCCTGGTCGTGGCCGAAAAGGTTCGTCGAACTGGGACGGTGTTGACGACGATTTCTCGCAAGATGCCTCAATGGGGGCTTCGTCACATTCAAGCGTTGGTACTCTAGAAAGAAATCCCTCGAAAAAGAGAACGGCGCTGTCTTTGGCGGTGGCTGCGGATCCATCTTCGGCAAAAGGCGATAAGCCAAGGGAACCTAACAAAAAGGATAGCGGCGACAAAGGGAAGAATGGGATGGGGTTTGCAATCCCGAGGAAGAAGCCCGTTGCCTCCCCCCCTTCTCGTGGTCTTCTGGTGGAAACAACCGAACGTGACATTGGTGTCGGCGGCACCGCAAAAGGCTTGACATCAGCCGAGGTTGGTGCGATACGAGGAGCACGCGTGGAAAATCGCGTCCCGAACCGTCATTTTCAACGCATCAATGTTGGTGGTTACCACGAATTTGGGAGGGCTTACGGCCTCCTTCGAGCTCATCGATCAAGTCAAGGCATATCGCTGGATGATTATGGTGGCGTTGGCAAGGAGGTGTACGGACATTGCTTGAAATGGCATCTGGGGGCTCGGTGTCGAAATGACTGCATCAGATCCAGCAGCCATCGTGCCCTGAGCCATGACGAGTCAAGAGAGTTGGAAGAAGCCCTAGCACCAGCCATTGGGGTCAATGGCCCCATTTTTTGTCGGCCATTGCAGTTGTCTCGTTCTTTCTCTGGCAACATGGGGGCTGCATCGGACAACGTTGACGAGGCAGCAGTAGGGGACGACTATGCCAACTCTCGACCAACAAAGCGGCAGAAGTTGTTTGCAGCCACGCAGATCGACCAATCACCTGGGTCGGTCACTCTGAAGCTTCGCTTACCACGTTACTTCGGCGCGAATTTTTTAGTCAATTCAATTGAGGGAAAAGGGAGACGACTCGTCGACAAGTTGTCCAAGTTGTTCTCTTGTGGCATTAGCATTGAAGGGAAGCTGATAAACCGTTGTTGGTCGAAGGAGAGTGTTGGCGAATCTCTCGTCGTTCTCATCACAGGGACCTCAGTGGAGAAACTATTCGAATGCCAAATGTTGATCGAAAGGATTTTGTTCAAAGCAGTGCCTCCTTCTCTACGAGGCTGTCTTTTGGCCAATATTGGTGGCCTCAACGACTACCGAACCAAACATGATCATGGCATCATTCACACGATGAATCCATTTTCAAACGGTGAAGATCCTGATGACATGCATTATGTGCTGAGTCACAAAAGAGATCTGCTTGTTCGTGTTGCAAGAGACTGCAGGGAGCGTTTGCTCAGGGAGTATCCTTCATGCCGCATTGAAGTAACGGAGCCACACGAAGACTTTCACATGATCCGTTCTCACGTTGTGATTTCGAGTCCTGATTTGGCTGATTGCATGGCGTGCAGGGACCGGTTGCAGTGTTGGGGATCGAATCATTCGTAGGGTCATTGCTGTGGGAGTTTCACTTCCAAATCTGACTCCGGGAGTCAGAGCTTCGGCTCCAACTGCGACAATTGACGAGGGGTACCGCCTGATATGTGAGGGTAAAATTAGATACTTGTTGAAAGCGCCACAGCTGCCTTCCAGTACCGTTTTGCCCAGGCAGCTACAGAACAACATTGTGGACCGTACATGTAGCGTGCAAAAGGGCTTTCTGCGCGTGAGACCCCACAGGAGGTCACTACACATATTGAGGCGGCTGTGTAAGTGTCACATCGTGGCCCTTCTTGAAGTCGATGCGGTCGCCATGATAGGCACCTAACTAAGCAGTGACACTGCTATGGTAGCTGCCACGAAAAGTCTTCGTTAACCGCTGCCATAATACATACGGCGAAGATTGGTGGCCACGATGTGTTGTCGTCCGTCTGGAGCCTTGACGCCCTTATTGCAGCATTCAGTACTGGTAGCCAACCGCCACAGTTTCTTCGTGACCAACATTTTGAATCCTGACGGTGTGGCCTCAATCTTCTCATTCTCGGCGTGGAGCAGCGGAGCTTGATAGCGCGCTTTTTAACAATCTGCACCGTAACAAGACGCAACAATAGCGCCATGGTCATCCTTCGTTCTTGTTGCAACTTGCGCGAGGTTGCAAGAAAACTAGTTCGTTCGTTTCCTTCTTTCTTTGCCTCCAGTCGCCACACTCAGCCGAGAGAATGTCGTCGTTCTTTCGGCTCCACAACAGGTACGGTACGAGTAGCGATCTAGCTATACTCATACCGGTGTCTTGGACGCTTTGTTTCTTGGTATCCCCGTCCATCGTTGTAGTAGGACCTGCTGCTCGAGTATCCCTTTCTGCCATTGTCGTCGTCACGGTCGTGGTAGCCATCATATCCACGACCGTAACGACGAGCTGCTCGTTCACTGACGATGGGGCCATTCGTCCCCGTCACAGGTTCGAGTGCCTCTTCCAAACTCCTTGCATCTTCCGACGAAAGTTGATAATGATCCCACCGGCGTTTGCACGCGGAAGAACATTTTCCGATCAAGTGATACGCCAAACAACGATCGAGGATGGCATTGTCATGATTACCCCCCTGAGCTAGCATTTTCCGTGCGTCCTTGATTTGATGAGGCCTCCCGAACACAATGTGTTGAAAGGGGTTTGGAAAATCGTTGAATTCAGTGATGGCAGACCATTTTCGTTTTGCCTTTTTGCAATGGTTGGATTTGTTGGACTTTCCAACAGGATGGTCGTTCGCGATAGGAGCAACATCAGATTCTGCATCGTCCAAACGTTCTTGTTTAACCCCAGAAGATGTGCTTGCCTCACAGAAATCGATTCTGTCTTTGGATTGGCTGGAATGGGTTTCTTCCATCGAGGAGACAATTGGCTTTTCCAGAGGGGTTGTTGTGTCCATGGTTCCGGTATGGTCACGCTCGCCATCCTTTGGCGCAGTCGTCGTCTGAGGGAGGATACCATCGCGCGGCGGCTGGACATCTGTGATTGCAACTGGAAAGTCCTCGCTGCAAGGACTTGCTTGCTGTTGCCGTGTACTAATAGCAGAGACATCATCATCCGTGGTAGACAGAACCGCGGTGGATGCCAAAGTTGCAAAGACGGGAACAACTGGGCTCGACGCCCGCGCTGTTTCTGGAGAAGCACTTTTTCTGTCACCCGAAGGAAACTCGCTCAGTTCTCTCTCATCCTCTTGTTCCAACTTTTGATCGTACGAGCTGTCGCATATTACCTGAGCGCTACCTTCTGGGATGATTGGCTCTTGCGCAGCGTTCGGATTGACTGTTGTCTCTTGAGCGCGACTGCACTTGTCCTCGCTACGTGAGGATGCAACATCCAATGGACCAGTCTCCTCCTTCTCCAAGTGCCCTACTTGTTGGGGAGGCTGTTCATCCTTCGTGCCTGGATCCACACACCCTTGCCTGACTCCATGCTCCAAAAGATTTGAGACTCGTGGAACGACAGACCGCTTCATCAAATTTTGAAGAGTACTAAGGGCGGGCTTTGTTTCTTCTAGTGTATGCAGTTCTTGTTTCTTGTTTTGGAATGACTTGGGAGGGTGGTGGTTGTTTGGATGAGGCGACCGAAACGACAATAGGCTTGGATCGACACCATGGTGAATTATAAAGTTTCCCGCCACTGCTTGTATGGAATACGCCAAGGTCCTGCTAGTATCATTCTTGTTCCAGAGTGGCGCTGGATAGCATCCAACGACTCTAGCCTCTTCTCTACAAGGGTCTCCTTTCTGTTGGAACCATACAGGGCAGCCGGGTGCAAATTGGAGTTGATTGGCGCGAAACACTGCGTTGGTATTGCCAGTAATATATGTTGACTGGTTGTCCTCGTCATGGTTGTCACTGACAATGTCCAGCTGAACCTTGAAGACATCTGGTCTGCTCTTGTCGGACAAATCAATACCCACCTCTACCACTCTTCCAAACAGAGCCCCGGCCAGCATGGCCTTTTCTTTGGTAGTGGTACCGGTAGAAGTGTTCGTCGTGTCACACGAAAGTTGAACGGGACAACCCACTGGAAAATCACTGACTTGGGCCCATTTCAAAGGCACTGCCAAGAAGTCTTCTTCTTCACAACAACTTCTAGTAGTACATTCCGTAGAACTGGCAATGGTATCATTGGTATCGCTCCCTTTCATCGTCTTGTCTGTCTTTGTTTGCTTTGATGCTTCCACTTGCAGGTTGTTCCCTCATTGCAGGACTGTCACTCTAGTGGTGTTCGGTTCGAGCGCGAAAGAAGCGCGCTGCTTCTGATGCCATTTTTTGTGTTGAAGGGCTGCTCGCTCGGCTTGACTGATTGACAGTCACTCGGCTCTCCTGAGATTTCACAGCTTAGCTGGTCTATTTGCCAACGAAAAGGGGAAAAGGGCGACAACAAACTGCACTCCAGATCGCGGCAGACCACGAGGAACAGCAAGCTACCGTAGCGCAGCGAGACAGAGAAGAGGAAAGAGGATGGCAGAGTTCACGAGAGGTGTCCACAAGGAAGCACTGTGGTGGCCCAGCGATGAAGTTTAGGCACTTGAAGGCTCAAGCGTCTGCCCAAAAATTGGGGCCTTGGAGGTAGCGAGAAATACACACACCCACACAGTTACAATCTTGCCCTTGACGGAGCAACTCCCCATGCTATTCTACAATGGAATCGTTCTGTTTTACACAAGTCTTGACCCGTTGGGTTGGTCGACGACGACAAAGCAGGCCTTCGTTGCGTCTTTCGTTCAACTACCACTTCCTACCTTTATTCATGCCATCCTCCACTGCAGTACAATGGTACCCGGCAAAAAACGAGCGATCTGAAACCACGATACCCATCGATCTGCTCCTTTTGTTTGTTATGGATCCCAAAACTGGCATGTCAGCGCTGTATCTGTGGTCCTCTGGAAGAGTCAGATACTGGCGCTCCTCGGACGCGCCGTAATGATGTAAAACTGTATTGGGAGTTTGCGAATTTTGCGAAGTGGCAGCTCAGAGCAGCGGACAAAAAGTCAACCGATATCAGCTGATGTCCTGCGCACATGAACACACAGAAATAACAACATGTCTTCGTGCAATGGAAACAACGGACGCTCAACCTACATGTTATCATGCACTCGTCACAGCTTGGATGCATCGAATATTCTGGCACAGTCACCAAGTCGGGTTTCTAGGCAATACTCAGTTTGTGATTCTAGCTGAGGGTTTCTTGGTACCTGGCTGCTAACTTGCCTTTCATGAGCATACTGGATGCGTCCACAATCAGGCCAGTCAGAAGATGGTCCTCAGGGTTCAACCTCTGGAATTCTGCCCTGTTGGTCAGTTGGGTTCGTCACAGCCAGCTGGGGTAGCCAGCACTTCACTACTGGATGTGCCCACCATCAAGCCAAGAGAGGGTGTACATAATCTGATACTCCTCTCAATTCATCCACCACCTTGCTCAACCTTCAAGCTGGCTTATGGAACAAGCTTGGGAGGCATGCTCACTGTTTCATCATGCAAAGTCTTTTAGCCTTGACAGTGGAGGGCAACCACATGATTGAATGGAATCATCCAATCCACAGGCTGAGTTAGCAGCACTTGCACTCATATCCTGATGACAAACATCAGAGCTCAGAGACTGTCATCACTTCTGACAAAATTGAAATTTGGAGGGCTGTCATCAGAGTTTGCTGGCACCAATCTTGACGACAAACATGTGATGGCGTAGATTCTATCCAATCATAGCTTTTGTGGCATGATGACAAAGCTCCATTTTAAGAATCTGTCATCAGTGCATCAGGTTATGGGGCAGTGGTGGATGCCTGCCAGCCTCTCATTTCCAATTTTACTTGGCAACCCCTGATTAGTTGAACTTTTTGAGTATGGGCGGCGAACTTTCCAGGGCTACAGGGAATTCACGTAGGATCGCACCGTAGGCTCTGGAAAGTTGAGAGAGCCAGCCGAATGGCAAGTTCCATTCGGCTGGCAGCACTTGGGGGGCTCCCAGAGCATCCTAGCTCTGATAGAAGCCATTCTTCCCAAAGAGAGATGACATCTCGCAGTAACAACCACTGCGTCGCACCCAAGCAACAGTAACAAACAGTAACAAACAAACATCACTAATTAACAAACTAACAAACAAACATCACTAATTAACAAACTACTAATTAACTCGTCGATGTTGTCTCTGCTGCTGTGCTGTTGCTGTCGTCGCAATTTCTGCTGTAGCTGTTGTTGCTTATCTTTCTTCGTTTGATATTTCTGATAGCGCATTCCGAGTGCACCACCGTGCCTTTTGCCTTGATGAAATTGTGCTACCAACTGGTTTCAAGCCAACTTCTATTCTAATCAGCAGCGTTCCATGCAAGCATGTGCTATCCCGCTCGCCGCTTCTTTTCTTTTGCTCTTGTCACCAATTCCAGTCGGACTCAAAGCAAGTTTATGTTCTTCTGATCCAGCAATCTTAGCCAATCGTAAAGCATGAATACACTTTGCCTCGTTTTCTCCTTTCATTGTTGCAGGTATTGGAATTTGGCTGATTGCGTTCCACTTAATTGGAGTTATATCCAAGAGAAGTCGTTCAAGCAAAATTCCTTTGCATGATGAGGAATTATTCTGAGCTTGACGATTGCGCATCAGAAGTGCATTGGCATCTTTTGGTTGATTTTGCTGTTGTCGCTGTGGCTGATTTGGCCTTGTAGCTGTTGTTGTTGTTTTGGTTGCTGCTGCTGTTGCGTTGGTTGTTGCTGCTGCTGTATTGATTGTGGAAGCTGGTTGAACTGAGATCGTGTAATTTGGGGTTGGCAGGTAGCAGTGGTGATTGTGATATGGGTATTAGTCCTTGTTGCTGCTGTGTTGATTCTGGAAGCTGGCTGAATTGTTGCTGCTGTGTTGATTCTGGAAGCTGGCTGAATTGTGATCGTGCAACTTGGGGGGGTAGTGCGCGGGCGGTGCGGCTCTGGCTGTGGTGCTGCAGGGGTGCTGGCAATGGCTGTGACAGTGGCGCGCGGGTGGCAATGAACGCACGAAATGCTAGCTGTCTGAGCAAATTGTGAAATGCTAGCTGTCTGAGCAAATTGTCTTCTTTGTCGTTGGTGGGGTTTTGATAAATGACAACTTCTCCTTGTTCTGACTAGCCATTGCTTTCACTGCTTGTTGTTCCTTTTGAATCGATAGGATTCCTCTCTTTTTTTTTGCATGCTAGTTTGCCTTTGCATTGCTAGTGCTTGATTCAGCTCCTTGGTTTGCTTTTCAATTTGAGCTAACTGAGAACCAACTCGATCTAGCATGGTAGCTGTTGCTACTTCTTGAGCATAGCATCAAAATCATTCTCAAAATTAAAGTTGTCTTGGATATGCGTCCTCCAGCCTTCTAGAACGGCCCCAGGATGAACCCATTTGTCCGGATTGTTTATCGAAAAGCTTAGCTCTTTGGCTGCTTGAAAAAGCTTTCTATATACTTTGTTCGTAACACCAAAGTCATCTACCAGAGCAGGAATTGACATAATGAGCACTGCTGTCACTGTGCGAAGAAAAGGTCGTAGATGTACTCCAGATTGAAATTGTGGCAGCTGATCAGAGATTGTGTACAACTCGTCAATGAATCTGTCAATCATTCCACTCTCTTCAATTTCAGATACCAAACACTCAAAGTTCGGAGGGGTGTAGGGGCAAGGTTATACAGATTCTTGGTAGCCATTTAGAGCTTCTGCCGCTGAAATTGATAGAACCAATGCATTCCGATCAATGTAGCTCTCCTGAGAAGTTCCAAATGAGTGACCCGATCGCACATGTGATGCATAATAGTCAATTGCTGAATGAGCAGCAGGAAGTTGATTGCTCCCTTTCGCATTGATTTAGCAGAGAAGCTGTTGCGAACTTCAGTTGATACCTTGGCTGGAATGAACTTCCGAATGTTGCCAGTAAGCTTCTTTGTGACAGAAGAATCACTGATTTTGTGGAGCTTGGGAAACACCCTTTGTGCACGTTCGAGCTCATCCGGACGTCTAAACAAGCCGTCTTCCAAGAGATAGTAAAAACCCATGGCATGGTACCAGCATACTCTGTAGTTATATCTGTGTGGCATCATTGGCATGGAGTATTTGTTGATAGTTTTGATATCAATCCATTGGTATCCACTACTTTAAAGTATGGGTCCCAAAGCCAGTCACTATAGGAATTGAATTTGGCTTCTCCACCACGAGCAACTGCATGCCATGTCATTAGTAATTGAGCCCGCTGCTCATAGATACCAGTATATCCGATCTCGTATCATCCTCTTTGATCATGCTTTTAATGATTGCATTTAGACCACTTTTGATATATCGCCATTGATAGCTCTGGAGTTTGGTTGTTGTGTGGCACATTCAACTGGTTGATAGCCAGTTAAGTTTTCAAGGTACAGTGGTCTCATTGTTGTCGTTTCATCTTCATTATTATTTTGAGTTCTTGTAGCATTCTTTTCTAGCCCTTTTCTTATGACGACCACCAAGAGCTGTCATCTCCGATGTGACCATTCCAATGAGGATGATTGGGAAACTTTTTCCTCAAAACTTCCTTAACCTCCAGCATATTCAACTTTGTTTATGCTTTCAGATATTTACTACGCTCTTGAGTGACCATGAATGAAACTCAATTTTGTCAAAGCCACGGGAAATGCTAATATTGGCAAGCCAAGAACAGAACTTGGTAAGATGGCCTGTAAATTATCCTCCGCAATGTAAGTAGCAGTCGTCTGATCCATTATAGGCTCTTTTCGAATAGTTTGATATTTGTTATACAGCTTGATAGAGCATTCTTTGGCATTAGATTTGTGCTTCTCCCAATTTCTTCTCCGAAGAGGTTGACTACTACATCATTAGTTGTTTGACTCATTTTCGTTGCTGTACAGGCAGAATAGTACTAAAATGCTAGTATCAACTAATTTCTTGTTGGTGTTGTTATCGGTTCTTTCTCTGTTGAAAAGCAACAGGAACCAAGTTTTTGTTGGTGTTGGTTATCGGTTCTCTTCTCTATTTGAAAAGCACCAGTAATAGAGGTATCGAGCACTTTCAAATAGCTCTAGTAGCTTCATGTAGCTCCAGTACCTTCACTGGGAGCTCCACATAGCTCCAGTGCCTTCACTGGGAGACCTCGTTGCCTGTTCAAATAGCTCGCAAACACCCAAAAATAGGGCTCTTTTCCAAAACCAACTGCTTGCTTCAGCAACTTGCCATAAAAGTTAGCTGGAGAACTGGGAAAGCTAACCATCACGGTGTTGGGTCAAAGCTGAAAGCTAGTGGAAAACTCCTGGAAAGCTAACCTGCAAAGAGAGCACTAACCTCCAACACGAACTATCCGAATTCTCCCAGCTCTCCTCCTTTTCTCCAGGCTCCCCGCCAACTTTCCGGGCTGCGCCCGGAAAGTTGGGATTTTTTGTGAACAGAAGATCTGCAAGCAAGCCAGCATGATGCACGTTTCAAGGCCAAAACATGATGCCACAAATTGAGAACATCGCCCAAAGTCCGCCCTGTTCTTTAGATTTTCGGACTTCGAGACCGTCGTTTGCGGTACTACTAGCTAGACTAGCTAGCTAGCTAGTTCTCCACACAATCGAATGCAACAAAAAGTGGGAGTGCTTATTCGAATAGCAGCAATGTTGCGGGCAAATCACACGCAAGAGAACCAAACCAACAATGGTGTCAGAGGCCCACTTGAACAAGTTGATAGGCAGCTGCGAGTGAAAGAGATGTCGAAGATGGCGCTACATCCGAAAGTCGAGGCGCTGCATGGTGCGGCAGCAGCATATCATTTCCTTCCAGTGACAAGAAAGAATCTAGTAGCAACGTTTCGATATCCTCCAGGAGCTCCCGTTATTCTGTGTCGCTATCAACAGCCACGCCAGGCGGCTGATGGCGTCAAACCAATGGCTGACGACGAATATGAGGGACTCGCAGGAAAGCTGTCACCGTTCGTCTCTCAGGTTCTCTTTGGGAGGGTGGCTGGAGTAGGAATAGACTTTGGTTCGAGCAAACGCGAAGATCTTTACCGTGTGAATATTGAAAACGTAGGGATTAGCAGGGCGGGCTGTGGTTCTGATCATAGCTTCGTCATGGCCCGGGAAGAAGAGCTTGTGCTAGCGAAGGGGTGTCCTGTTTGGTTTGACCTTGGTCAAGGAAAGGAAGAAGGTGTTGTGCTTGGTTCGCAGCATATTCCACTTCCGTTGATGACGACTGCAAAGAACCCGTTGCGCCTCTCCTACTCTATTCAAGCCACAAGAGGCCGCTTGGTGGTGCACCACGGCGTTGACGCTGACAAGGTATCCTTCCGATTGGACACTCCAACGCAGCCCAAGCAGCGGCGCCGTCTCAAAGAAGAGAGCGACGTTGCTACTAAGAAAGAAACTCAGGCAGATAATGGGCAAGAAGACGAAAGCGTCGTGGCTACCAAGAAAGAAGCCCAGGCAGATCATGGGCAAGAAGACGCTGTACAAGCAGCCAGTGGAGGCGATTCGCTGACGGAGCATCCACAGTTCTGTAAGGAGGAAGAGAACAGCGGCAGCTGCATGGAGAGTTCACAGTGTCCCGGCACAATGGCAGAGCAAAACGACTTTGCAATGGTTGGCTCTGAGGAGCCGACAGCCCTGTCGGCACGCCATGTGTCCATTTTGCCCAAAAAGTTCGAGGATGATGTTGCTTTGATTTGCAATGATTCACTTGATGGAAATCCTTCGCTACCAGTCGAAGAAGTCAAAATCCTCGCCTCTATTGATGACGCCACACAGGCCATTAAATCCAAGGAGGGCGAACTTCGGTCGCAACAGGAACTTCGACCGCAACAGCAACTAACGCAATGGATGTCTGCTCTGGGGCGTGAAGAAGATATGCAAAAGGGTGCACTAGGGGATGATGGAACTGAGCAAGAGGAGGACGTTGATCTGATGGTCGAAGACTGCAGCAACCAGATGATGGTGGGAGCTCCCAGCCACTGTCCGTCGTCTGAGATAATACACGGCGTAGGCCCACAGCCCGAAGTGGTTACTTCATCACAAGGGCTTGCAGCATCTGGGTCATATGAGATTGCAAAGGGCGCCCACGTACAGCCCGAAACGGTTACCTCACAAGAGCTTACAGCATCTGCATTGCTGGCAGGTCGACTTCCCATTTCTCCTGCCCCTCGTGTGGAACACCTGCAGCTCGAACCGGTTACTTCACCAGAGCCTACAGCATTTTCGTTGCGGGCAGGTCGAAGGACTATTTCTCCTGGCCCTCATGTGGAACAATGTAAAACAGGCGAAACACCCTGCAACCCACGCAGTGCAGAAAGGAAGACCGTGGTAGACCAAATGGTTTTGCACAACGAGGCGGTTGGTGCTCGAAGAGCCCAAGTAGGAGAGGCACTACAGCAGGTCAAAGACGGTCTGAGGCAAACACGTTCTGCGCAGCTGTTTGATTTGCTGCTGAGGTATGGCTCCCTTTCCCGTTGCGAGCTTGCTGGCTTGGTACGAAGGAAGGACAGGGGCCACGGCTTCAGCTACTCCCTTCGAGAACTAAAGCAGCAGGGACTCGTAGAAGAAGACCCAGAATCGGGCGAAACCAGAGTGATAAAGTTGCGTCTGTCGGACAAGGTCTTCGCAAGACCAGAGGACCGCCCGGAGCCAGAATTTATCGACCCTCGGATTCTCGCTGAAGCTGTTGCTTGGGACAAATCGTCAAAGCCTAGAAACAGAATTAAGACATACGAGGACTCTGACGACGATTCTGTAAGCACAATTGACTCGGGAGACTCTGCAGCTATAGCACCCCCGTGTGGGACAACCGAAGGTGTGCTTCACCTGAGAGATGAGGGACTCAAGGGAGGAGAACTCTTGCTGTCGACGGCTCACTTGACCTCGGTCCCTCACATGAAAGCAATGCTCCAACGTGCACAATCCATCCAACGTGATGGTCACAAATCCCCCAAAGGGGAAGGCACAAGCACTGGAGCTTGTCCCCTCCAAAGAGAAGTGGAACAAGAAGTCTCTTTGAATGAAGACTGTCACCCTGTCAGATGTACCGGTAGCGGGGCAAGGAGGACATATAATCGTGAATCTTCAGCGCAGACAAGGCAACAAAAACAGGCAACGGGATACCATTCTTACACGGGGAGGACCATTGAGGCCAACAAATCTGGCGCGGCTGTAATGACAGACGTTGCTTCTACCCGTACTGCTGCAGCGCGCTGTCAGGATCCAAATTCACTTGCCGGCAAGTCATCCCCTCGAGAGTCAAGAGTCAACGGGACGAACCCTCAACGTTCTGTCGTACCCTCCATTCCGATCATACACAAGCCGAAGAGTGCGCAAGCTCCTCGAGATCCCTTGCCCACGGATTCGGTCAATAAACAAAAGCAGGCATCGCAGGCTATCAAAGACCTAGATGTATGGAAGAAAACGTTACAGGTCCGCGAAAAAATTGTGTCAGACGAGCGCGACGCTGACCCACAGGCGAAAAAAGCTCCGCAATCACATTTTGAGGTTGGCGACCCACCTGCTTCATGTGTTGCCCATGATGACGATATCACAGGCGCTACTACCAAAGATGTCGCCAATGACGCCAACAGCCACCAAACCAAAAGAACCGTTGCCAATGACGCTGCCCCAGATATTGTCGATGGCGCTAACAGCCGTCAAACCAAGAGACCTCGAGGTCGAGGATACAACACGCAGCCGCATAGTACTCCTCCGCCTGGCGCAAAGCGACAAAAGCGTCTACATCTCCATGCGAAACCCTCCTACGAAGCTACTAGTATGAGCTCCTCGTCGGCTACTGCTATCGATGTCAACTTGCCCTACAACTTTGGCCCAGATTTCCTAGTAAACTCAATCATGGGAGATGGGAAGGAAGGCCGAGCGCTTTGCGACAATTTTGGGTGTTCGATTGACATTGAAGGAAGTCGCTTGCATGGCAGTCCTCCGTCTGATAAGCAGCTAGCGGTTGTGCTCAAAGGAGAAGGTCCTTCCAAACTGTTTCTCTGTAGCCAAGCAATTGAGAATCGCTTGTGCCACTTTCTTCCACAAACCTTGCGAGGCAACTTCCTTTTCCATATTGGGAAGCTGAATCGGTATAGGAAAACTTACAAGGGGGGTCTTGTCCAGACACAAGATCCATTTTGCAAAACTGGTTTGGGAAATGATAAGCAGTTGCACTGGGTGTCGATTTTGAGGCTGAACGATCCGAACGCCCCGCCATTGGATGAAGAGTTGGACAGATTTCATGAGCTGCAAGAACGCTTCAGCTCGTGCGAGATAAGACTGGTTCGGAAGGAACTGGATTTTCCACGCGTTCCGTGTCACATCGTCGCGTCGAGTCTACATAGAGACGATCTTTATGCATGCCGCCAACTCTGGGACGATTGGAGCGTGCACCGCCAATGAAAAGAATCAAACCGATCCAAGCAGCAAATGGGGCGATTGACACAAAGGGGGGGGGGGGGAACCGGTAGACCTGAAGGATTGGGATGCGTACAACAAGTACCGGTACCAGATCTGGTACTGGGAGTTGCAGGAAAACACGTTGCACACAGGAAAACACGTTGCACACAAGAACTGACTGTTGACTAGCTAGCTGCCTACCGGGGCTAGCTACCTGGGCTATGCTAGCTAGCTATCTACTGGTGTGAATATATCATGGTTACCAGGATGTGGTTGATTGTTGACTGTCATTGCCATGGCTAATAGTGAGGCTGCCACTAGGATAACTACATACTACTACATTAATAATCAAAGTCAAACTCATTGTTGACCCTATCATAGTACTCCACCTGCCACATTGGCCGGTCCATGATTTGGAGCTGGACAATGTTGGCCACAGCATGAGTCATTAACCCATGCTTGTAGAGGGAATGGCGCCACCTCTCAAGGAGGCATCTCCATTCCTTCAGCCTTCTATTAGTACATTCGTGTCTAGCCCTTACAAGGGCTTTCCTAGTGCACTGCTGCTCAGTGTCAAGATGTCGCCATGGGCAATCAAAGAACTGAGGATGGCCTCTGTATCCCTTGTCAGCAACGGCTCTTTCATCTCCTTCAAACATATAAACCAAAGAAGACAAGGCAATGGCAAGATCATTCCATTCACCACAAGGGAAAGGACCATTGATCCAAACAATCCAACCAGTCTGAATGCAAATACCAATCTCATATCTAAGTCCAGGTCCATTGAATTTCTTGGTATACCAACCAGTAGAGAAAGGGCCAGGTTCACGGATGCGAAAGTCAGTACCATCAACTGTTATTTTACATCTACTGCCATTGTCATTCATCAACCTATTCTCCCATCTGATCTAGAGCAGGAGCAGCAGAGGTGGAGTGCAGCATGAACATGGTTAGGTCCTTGTATTTGTGAAGGCGGCGATGGAGAAAAGCAAAAGCTTGGTCATCACGTACCAAATCCAAACTAGCCAGCTTTTCCACAAACACCCATACCCAATGCCGGATTGTCTTCTCATCCTTCATGAAAATCATTGCCAGTACTTCCGTAACAGTATAAGTGCGCAAGAACATAAGTGTTGCCAGAAAATATGTCACCCAACCAATATTGCTCAAAGGATCCATATCATCCATCATATTCCACAGCTCGGCAGCTAGTTCAGGATGAACACCAAAGCAACCTCGAAATGTCCGATTGTACCTGTATGTCTCATGGTTCACAGCACGGGCTGTAAGGCCTTGATAGTTTGAAGCTGTCCGGATAATGGTGGAAGGTGTTATCTGCATTGTGATTGAGCTAAATTCAATTTTGTGAGCCAAGATGGGAATGATTAATTTCCACCGGAGGAATCCAAGATAAAGTTGATCATGTCTACTTTACCTGTAGCACCATGTAGAAGTCTGTAAGCTTTGACCATTGACAACCTTGTAAGACCAGATTCGGATGCTTTGAAAGATGCCATTGTCATGTACCGGCAAGAAAAGAGATGCTGTCATGGATAAAGTTTCTGGAAGTGGCACAATGAAGAAAATTTGCCTCTGTGCAGTCCTTGACAAGATTGCACATTCGGAAAGGATCAAATCATGCTTGGCTTAAAAGAGGAGTACTGGACGTTCTGTATTTATGTGGTTCTGATTTGGCGCAATTATTCAAATCCCTTTCCATTTCTTGGTCACATTTTTGTCTGAAATGCTAATGGCTAGCTAAAATCGGGGCATACTCATCATGTCTTGACCGTGCCCCGGTATAGGTCTATAAGGGTACCTGATACCTCCGGTTAGCTGCACTTTGGAACTGTCTAGCTTACATTCACTGCTAAAATAAGCCTGGGCTATGCACTGTGTAATGCATACTAAGCAATAAATGTATGGTAAACTGTTTTAATAGTAAAGAGAAATACCGATCCAGGACGTTCTGATGCCTCATATCGGTACTTTACATAGAGAGCATGAAGGCTAAAATAGTTCTTTCTCTTCCAAACCAGGAGGCTTTCTACTCTCTAATACTAGTAGAATAGGAGATCGGCCTTCTTGGAAAGGCTAGGACTTTATGGATGAACAGACCGGCACCTGAGTTTGGTGATTTACTGTAATGGGTGTGTTCTGCCTTGTGTTGTGATGGGTGTGCCACGGCTGAAGCAGAAATTTTATTTTTTGTTGCTGACAATTGATTTTAGGTTGGACCGCCCAACTTTCTGTAACGGTTGCCTCCATTGGGTATTTCTTTGTACATGGGTCATTAATGGCCAAAACCGGTATTCCAGCATGTGAACCAGTAAATGACCTTGGCTAACGGGCATCTACCAGGTTCCAAAACAGTCACACATACGATTAAATGCAAGACCGATTGGATCAAAGATTGGCTCAGCCAGTATTCCATTTACAGAGTTCACGTAGAGCACCATGAGATTCCTCCGATGGAATCAAAATAGACAGTTCTTCCACTTCATCTCACAATCCAAACCAACAACAATTGGCAAAGGCAATAAAGAAAAGGAACTCACAATGGCTAAGACAGTTGCTAAAAAGGCTCCGGACACAGTAAAGACAGCAAGGAGTTCAAGTTTCTCTTAAAGCTTTTTAAAACTGGCAAGATTGGAGATTTGCAACCAGCTGCTGTTCGGGCCATGTTTCCAGAACAATTTGGGAAGTTTACGTCCAATCAATTCCGGCCGCAATTTAATAAAGCCAAAGCTCTATGTGGTCAATCCGGTATGTGCTATTCAATAGCATGCCATGCATGCATGCATGCAAAAAAATTGCACGCCTTGTTACTAACATCAGCTACTACTACTCTCTTTGTTGTAGTTGCCCCAGCTCCAGCCGAAGACAATGATGATGATGAGTTCAACTCTCTTGTGGAAAATGTCATGCCTCCAGCTTGTCATGTGCAAGTGCCATCTTCCAATGTGGCTAACGTGACTTCTTTCGGTGGAAGCAATGACAATGACAGTGCACCGGAGGATTCTCCTCAATTTGATCATACTGTTTGGGTACCCAAAAAACTTGTCAAACAGTGGGAGAATGAACATGGCATTCGCATGGCTACCATCATTTTCTGGTTGAGCAGTGGTACTACTCCCAAGGATGTGGAGACTGCTATTAATGCCAGTGGGCAGAAGCTATCCATCCGTGAGAAGTGGCATTGTGATTTGCTTGATGTGGCTGAATTCTATGAGCTATACCAACAATACACACAGGAACCCATTGGGGATACCAACGTCCGCAGCCATGCCATGAAACAGCATGTTCGATCCCTTGTTGATATCAAAGGCGAGCTCTACTCTCTCTACACCATGGATCTTCCATTTCAAGTTGATCCATCCACTTTGAATGTTACTTTCCCAGGATTTGAGTCTGGTACTTTGTACTGTCATGTGGATGTGGCTGAGAAGAAGAAGAAAGAAGAGGCACCAACCTTCATTATGAGGAAGAGGAGTGGCAAGGGAAGGAAGACAACTGAACCGGAATACAGCAGCTTCACACCCAACTAGACGCAAGAAATGCCATGGAATTTTTTGTCTGCTACTAGCAGACTGTGGAAAATTCAAACAATTGCACAATCAACCATTCTAGGAGCACCTTGTTGAGTGCTCATGTAACAGAAATAAGATAGCATAAACGGTGGCGGTAGACGATAGACGATCAACGAACAACGATCACTCATGGTCGTCTTGTTATCTCAATCGCCAATCGGTAGGACTTGGAACACTGTGGAATGCGTTTTCCTGCAACTCCCAGGGTCATCTTTCCCATTTTGGGAACTCTTCAACAGATGTTAAACAAAACAGAACGAATGATATTCGCTGTCACTGGACTGTCACTTGCTGAGCTCTCCGTTCTCCGTGAGCCTTGCACTTTAAAAGGGGGACTGGAATCATCAGCGAGGACAAACTGAGGGGGGGGGGTCAACGGAGCTGTTCAAAGCCTGCTTGTTGCTTGTTGGAGTCGAGCCCTGCAACAAACGGTGGTTTACGGTTGTGTCGCTGGCTCTAGCTAGGAGTCTTCGACAAGTGCTGGTATAGAGTATCTCTCCTCTGCTACTGAGTCATACCTCCTGACAGGGGTGACTACAGCTTAAATTATATGCCATGTCACAGTACAATAATGGCTGCTACGATGTGTTTCCTGTCGAAGATCCCGATGACACTGGATTGTCCTCCTCATCTTATCCATCCTTTCTTCAAGCGCAGAGTGTAGCCTTCCAACGCTTTGCGCCTCAGGATGATGTCGTTGTTGGAGAGGACGAGTCGGCTGCCATTGCCGCTGCTTTGGCGGCTTCGGAACGTGAGGAAGAAGAGCGACAACGCAAACGAAAAGCAGACGAACAGGAACAATTTGCCCGTCAACTCCAACGGGAAGAACAGTGTCATGCCGACCAGGAATTGGCAAAAGCCATGGAGGTTTCGGCCAAGGAAGCCGATACGCGGGTGGTGCACCAACAGTTGGAGGATGCTCTGACCAGTGATCAGGATGCACGACAAAAAGAACGACACGTGGGATCTTGGGATTGCTTGCACTGCACGTACCAGAATCAACCCTATGAACCAACCTGTACTATGTGCTCACAGGCGCCGCCTCCGGGGACTCTGGTCTTCCAGCACATTCCCGCCACGCTCCGGTTTGGACTGGAATTGGAACTCTTTATTACGAGTGGCAAACGAGATGGATTCAAATTGGGCTGGATTGCAAAAGAGCTGTCCAAAATGGGACCTCCGTCGGTGGAGTACGCCGGATATTCCCATGAAACATCCCAGCATTGGAAAATTGTCACGGATGGCAGTTTGCGAGGACACAATCATCATGACTTGTGCTTTGAGTTGGTGTCGCCAGTACTGCAGGGAAATGAGGGATTGTCGCAACTGCGCATCATGCTGGAGCATGTGCGCAAATTGGGCATTGCCACCAATCGGACGTGTGGCTTTCATTGTCACGTCGATGCCACCGAGACGCCTCTGGCAGACATTCGACGCATCGCACAGTGCTTTGTGGCTCTGGAGAATGCCTTTGACTTGCTGGTGGCCGGCAACTATCATCGACGAAATGCCGACCAAAATCAATACTGTCGCTCCAATCGTATCGCCTTTGGACGACTCTCCAATAAACAACGATGGGAAAAACTACAAAGTGCACATTCCACACAACAACTCGTCCAATGGATGAACCCGGACCAGGATCGTTATCGAAAACTCAATCTTACCAATCTGGTGAATCCAAATCGCCCGTCAACGATGGAATTTCGGCTTCATGGGGGCGTCCAGGAATTGAGAGAAGCCGAGGCATGGGTGCGGTTGTTGTTGCGATTTTGTCACAATGCTCCCACATCTACTACTAGTAGTACTAGTAGTATGACAGCACTCCGAGAAGAAGCCACTCCAGCCGAAGAACTCGCGCTCTTGTGGGATCTTGTCAATTGTCCGGGATTGGAACAGTTCTATGTCTACAACCGCAAACTGTTCCAAGCCAAACAACTACAAAACAAATGGCGTTGTAAGAGATGTCACAAACCATTTGAGACGAGTCGAGCTCTCTCGCAACACGCCCAAGCGACGGGACATACATGAATGATACAACATTGTGGCTGGCTGGCGCCTTCTAACTACTAGTGTACGGTAGTCAGTCAGAATGACGGATAGTAGATTTAAGAAGATATTCTTGCAACGACAGTTGGGTGTTCCGCTGGAAACCGCCTAGAGTAAAACTGCACTATTGCGAAACGAGCATTCACGGTCACATTACCTAAAAAGACTTCAAGCATATCGGAAAGCCGGCTCCTTTTTAGTGTCTGCCCGAGCAACCAAAACAGTGTTGGCAATTCCTATCATGGAGATATTCGTCAGCAACAAGACGTTTGGACAGCACTCAGCGGTTCCGTTGCCGCAACGCCAAGAAGGGCGGTGCGAGGAAACGAAGGAGATGGTACCGGTACGGTACATCCCACGTTGGCACGTTATTAAAATACCGGAGGGGAAAAGGTATCCGGGACCGAAAACTTGTGACTGACGTGACTTGAAAGATTTAACGAATAATGACTGATCGTGACACAAGATTTAATGTGACAGAAACGACTCCCACCCTGAAACGGCGAACCCAGAGTCCTCTGCGTGTTCTCGAACCCCTCATAAATTCGTGCTGGACACTCTTTGCACTGCTCTCTAACGCTGCTACTGTCAACTTCGTTCAATACTACAACAATGACGTTCACAAAGGACTGTAACATCTCCGAAGGCGAACGGTTCGATGACCCGCTGTTCGCGACGGAGGAAGAAGCCGACAGCTTTGCCCAAGAGTGCATTGAAGATCTCGAGATGTTGGAGCAAAAGTTTGAAGATGCCGACGATGCCGAAATGATCTCCATCAGCGGACAAGACTGGAACAATAGTTTGCTGTCGGCAAATACTGATCGTGCTAGCGAGACGACGGAACATCATTTCATTGACCGACAAAACTATGTCGACCATGAGACGCAGGGCGACGATGGCTACTACTACAACGAAGAGTCAGACGACGATTGGTCGCATGTTGCCTCGGACGACGGCATGGATTTTGATGACAAAGAAAGATTTCAGGCTGGGTACTGGTTTCAGGTCGTGAGAGGTGGGAAATACCAGTACGAAGATTCAGACGACGAATGTTCGTATGGTCGCTCTGACGACGAATACGATCCTTTTGAAGAAGAAGGTGAGGATCAGCATGATCTAGAAAACTTGCAGGTACCGGATCTCCTAAAACGGAATGAAGCTTCAAGCGTCGCGAGTGCAGTCGACGTTCGTGAAGATGAGTCCAAGTATCACCCTTCAAATATTTCGGAAGACTTTGAAAGACGTCGAGTGATGTTAGAAAGATCTGACCGATATGTCGAGCTGAAAGTCAGACCTGGTGGGAAAGCGGCATATGCAGCACCCTCTGAAAGCTACAAAGCGATTAAGGAAAAGGAGAAGAAACTCCGAGAACAGGGCATCAACCCATTGACAGGAGAAACATTTGAAAAGGAGAAAGCAGATTATGCGGCCTGTGAGTTTACATCGGAAGGATGGCCGAAAATGGAAGTGACCACTCCTGCGGACGAGAAGAAGTACTGGAACCTCTACAAGATGCACCGAGCCAAGGAACGTGTGCGCCAGCTCACGGGTGGCAGATGCTGAACGCCTGCGTTGGTGTGAATTATTACCTACTGGTACCGTTTATTGATTACGGCACTACAGAAACTCTAAAATAGAAAGCGACAAGATAAACAATTACTTCTCTGGTTTGAAAACGTAACTAAACGAAACTCTGCCGTAGGCACAACAAGGTGCTCCATCGACGATAAAGAGACGCAGAATGCAACGCTAATAGTAGACGGGTAGGTACGGTGTAGTCGGGAGCGGCACACTTGTGGTGTCAAGTTGCTCTGGCGTTTGCACCTGTTGCTGTTGAAGTGGTTCCATTTGTTGTTGCTATGGGATTGCCAGCAGCTGGCGCTGTTGCTGCTGTGACCCCACCGTGGGTTTGTTGGTATCATTGGCAGATGGTCCAATATTTGTCGCCTGTCCCATGCTCTGCATGGCCACCGGATGAGGTAGCGGATGAGGCGAAGAGGCCAGTTGGAAGTTGGAAGTTCTGCTTCTCGGCTGACCAAAAGCCTTCTCCCAGAGCTACCCTCAAAAAGAGCACTTCCAGTCAGAGTAAGGAAGGATTGCTTGCGTGGAATGAGATTGTCTTGGACGAGCAGCTTCCAGCCTGATTGGCAACATCGAATTGTGGGGATAAGTGGAGCTGTGGCGTCATGGGTGTCCGCAGCGTTCGAAGTCGTTTTCCTAGCAGTTTCCTCCTTTTAAGGGATTTAACAACCACAATGTCTCAAATACAAGGATCATGGAAAGCAACCAAGACTGCCTCGATCTGGTCCAGCGCTCGCACTCGAAAACAACCCTCATTGCTTGCCTTCATCTCGGCTCGTCGTTGTTTCGAAAGTAAGAACAAACTGTGAAACTCGTTGCGCATCTAGCTTCATCGTGTGTTGTTGTTTTGCTCACTTCTTCTTGTTCAACTCGTGCAGAAGCAACCAACTTTGACGACTCTGATCCGCGACAACGGGCACAACAGCGAAGACAGTAGTGCCAACGACAAATGACGACGACAACCGTCGTCTCGAAGGAAGCGGAGTCATTCAAAGGTGTTTTCACGCAAGGATCGGTTGGCAACGTCGAAAGAACTCTTGAAGGAAGCCTCGGAAGACCCAGTTCAACAACACAGACGTTGAAAGTACAAGTCAAGAGACTCCACTCGGAGACGAGAGCACACCACGGATACAACGATTCCTAGTACATTTCAAGCAAACAGAAAGACGTCGATCACTGTGAAGAGGAGCTTTGAGGAGCAGTTCAGGACCAGACTACTAGAGCGCCAACATTCGAGAGCCGCGACAAAACCAACTCCAAGACCTGGCCAAAGAAAGTCTTCCTGATTGGTTTCTTGCAGAAGCCAAGAGGCTTGGAATTCTCCAGGAAGGGGAGTCCATGTCGGCGACTGATTTCTTGAGAAACGTTGTAAGTCTTCAGGAACACTGCAAGAATGCCGAGAAGGAAAACAAGAAGCTTCGGACGGAAATCGATTCCGCATTCGACGTCGTACAAGGGACGGCATTCGACACTGAAGACCGCAATGGGGAAGGCGTTGTTAAAAAGCTTGTTGGGAATCTCCATGAAGGTCGGGACGAAGCAGAGCTAGCTAGGCTAGACGCCGAAGACAAGTTGTGGGCTCTGCAGCTTCGGCAGGGATACATTGTTTGCAACGAGGCCGCTCACAGACACTTTCAATGGACGCTCTTTCATCGAACCTTGAGCAAGAAAGAGATCTCAGACTGTTTCTTGCAACAATTCAAGCTGCTTTGCATGACCATTGAAAAAGGGCTGCGAGAGAATGAAAACGCAACAGCCGAGGATATCTTGAATATGATGCTTCCTCTTATGAATGACGACGAAATACGACATGGTTTGCCCTGCATGGTTCTCGGTCTCGTCGAGGCCACGAAGGGAAACAGTGATTTACTCACTCCTCGGCAATACATCGAGCTCGCTGATGACGCGACTGCGCAGAAGAAACCTGGTAACGCGGTGGCTCGTCCCTTTTTGACAGAAGAGACCATACAGCATATTGTCACCCGAGCAACTACCTGTGGGGACGGCTCCGAACGTTCGAAACAGAGCTTTTCGAGGACTTTCGAGACTGTCGCGAAGAACAAGAACCAAAGGTTGCAAGATCATCATCTTTCCGCCTCAAGCGATCATGCGTTCAGCGAAACGTACCAATTCAAGGATGCAGCTTTGAAGGCTAGACTCGAGCCGAAGACCAGAGAAAGTTGCATCTAGATGGCCGATTAGCGAAAGGATCACGAAGCAAGAGTTGGGATTGTGCGCCACTCCGGTGTCAGCTTCAGGATCGGCTCCAGGCACTCCAGGCACTCCAGGCCCACTGACCAGTCCCAGTCCTGGTCCCCCAATCATTCGCCGGCCCAACCTGCATCTCTTGACGGCCATCATAATCGGCAGATAACACAACATGGGTCATCAAGTGCAGGTGGCCGCAGCGGCAGCCACCAACAAGGACGAGATACGCACGTAAGTGGCCACATCGGCGGCCAGCAACGAGGGCGAGATGTACAAGCCGGTGGCCACAGCGGCAGCCGCCAACGAGAGCAAAATACGCAACTAAGTGGCCACAGTGGCCACATGGGCGGCCAGCAACGAGAGCGAGGAACGCGCAGCGGCCGCCAGCAACGAGGGCGAGATGTACAAGCCGGTGGCCACAGCGGCAGCCACAAACGAGGGCGGGATACGCAAACAGGTGACCGAAACGACCGCCACAAGCGTTCCAGAACGTATGCATCGAGGCCCACTCCCCAATACGCGTATCATCATCATCATCATCATCATCATCATGAGTCTTCATTTCAATCTCCTAATAGGGCTCGTCCTCGTCCTCGTCATGGTTGTCCTCCTCCTTCTCCTCGGAGCCAACAAGGAACGAGAACACCAACGAACAGTGGCTCCGGAAACAACTGGAACTCGGGATCGAAGAGGCAGCAACGAACCACTACTTAGATACAAATGCTCGATGAAGAATACTGCAGCTACTGATAACTTTATGGTGTGACCAACCAGTTGTTGGCATTCTCGTGTCGCTGCGGTGTGAAATGTCTACGACCGCTGTAGTGAATTGTATTCCATACCGGTAGACGCCATGGAGCAACATCCCGCCCTTGTTACTGGTCCCTTAAGGATGGACAACGCACCAAGTTCACCAGTTTCATAACTTTAAAGCACACAATTGCATTTTCATTTTCAACTAAATAGACACTGCGGTAGTGCCCAATTCGTTCATTCCAATTTGCCAAGCTAACTGCCGGCTTGTTGTCGTTTGTTAATGCCACGGGTGCGGTACTAATAGCTACAGATCCTTGAGCACTTGTAATACGGGTTCTTTCAGGTACTCTCCCAATACCTGATATCCCTTGGGACTAAAGTGAAGTCCATCCGGAGCGCAATTGTCACCGGCTGGTTCGTATTCAAAGGGGAATTTGCAAAAGAGTGCCTTTCCGTTGGACTCTTGACAAAATGCTTCCAATTCTTGATTGATGGCCATGGCCAAAAAACTGGCATCGGCCACTCGACTTTGATATCCCGATGGTGGAATGGCAATGGCAATGGTTTTAGGCACTCCTTCCTTCCATGCCATTTCGTGCAATGCCTTGATGGGTTCTAGTACCGTGGCGGCGGGATTGTCATTGCCAGAAGCCGCATACCCCAAATCGTTGGTTCCCGCCAGGATAATGACACAACAGAGGGATGGATTGGTAATGCCCTGAATGGCCGCACGCAATCCCACTGTCGGATCATCGGCCGCGTCGACCATGTTGGATGCCAACCATCCCGGCATGCCGCGGTGCCGTGCCACGCATTTTAGTGCAGTGTCGCCAGTAGTAAGAGCTCGTTCCAAATGCGGCGCATAAGGAAACAATTCCCACATGGGCGAGGAAGTTCCTGCCGTCAGCGAGTCGCCATAGCAGAGAATGCGATGGACCTTGGTATCGGAGGAAGATGAAGAAGCAAAGAGCTCTGTAAATGGGCGGTGACGATCCGACATGATGGTTCTTTGTGGGGGTTGGAGAAAGGCAGAGGAAGAACGAATCAATAAGGAAGATGCCACAAGAACCGAAAAGGGACGCCGTTGCATTATTTCGTTTGTCGTGCTGCAGATTGACTGTTGGTTGGATGTGTTGGTCAGTCGAGTTTCTGTTGCACTGTTATAATCATAGAGCAATACACCCGGAATGGTTGTTGTGTGACCATTGGCTCTCAAAGAAAGATCCAAAAGATCCAAGAGTATCTTTTCGCCCGGGTGGTCGCGGAGTGTCAATCAACTTCAAGAACACATCAGTCAAATCGGCAACAGCCCAACGAACAGCCGATGGCCATGGCACCACACCTTACTTATTGTTCACACAGGAAACTACGTATTCATTCATAGCCACCACCATCATGAACAGCATTCAGCTGCACTTCCTTCTATTCCTGATAGTGGTCATCTTGAGTCAGGATGGGGTAGCTGTCAATGGATTTGCCGTCACAAAGCAACCGTCGTCGTCAAGATCTCAATCAAGACCGTCATCATCATCATCGTTATTTTCACATGACAAGGAATCGATTCCATTTTCGGAAGGCACTTCTCGACGAAGAGTGCTGACTTCCTGGATTGCTACGACTGGAATCAGTGGAATCGTCATGGCAACAGCAGCAGCATCTCCGAGATCAGCCATGGCAGCACCACCGATTGCCGTGATTGCCGAAGAATTGGGCTATTTTCCCGTACAAAACAAGGCGGGCGAAATGGTCTACGTACCCAAACGAGTACAGCGACAATCCTCCGAACAAGCCATTGCACTGGCCAAAAAGCTAAAGCAAGCAGGAGTTGTCATGTATGGAGCATGTAAGTAGTGAAACAAAACACATCACACACACACATGAGCTGGAGAGAACGACAGCCTTTTAAAAACTGATGATTATTTCTCCTTGTTTGACTGTCACAGTCTGGTGCCCCCATTGTGCTCGACAAAAGGAATTGTTTGGTCGCGAAGCGTGGTCGTATATTGATTATGTGGAATGCGCACCCAAGGGATATGGAGCGGCACCGCTCCTTTGCAATAAACAGGATATTGACGGATATCCAACATGGGTCTTTAAGGGTACCGGTAGCAATGGCAGAAAAGAACGAAGTGTACTGGGAGGGGAACGACCCTTGGAGGACTTGGCACAGCAAATCAACATTGCCTTTCAACCCGACAAAGAAGAAAATCTACCGCCATCCTTGGGGTCCAGCGCTTGTAAATAATAAAATAATAATAATAATGAATGAGGTTGCTGACCAACAAATGTGACAGGTAACATGGAATTGGAAAGTTTCAACGCAGCACCGCAAACAAAGGAAAGAATCGTCTGCTGTGTATATAGACAAATGGGTAAATCCATCTAGTCTAACTAAGAGGCCTTGTGGCCGACTGTCCAAACCTTGACGCTGAGAGTTGCGAACTGGGAAACAAAGTAAAACTCAATCTCTACATGTACTTCGTTTTAGATCTACCTATCATGCCCCATGGCCTACAGCTCGTAACTTTACCTTTTGTGCATGGGAAAAGGCATTGCTTTTGAGCTTACCTTGCTGACTGGCTCTTGTGAGTTCAGCAATAAATTGGTTCAGATGCCGTTTGTTGGCCATCAAATCTGTAGCATCATGAGTTTTGGCCATACATCCTCTCCCAACAATAAGAGTTGCATCAAAGTTGATTGCAAAGTAATGATCATCTCCTTCGCCAAGGGCACCAAAGAACTCATGATCCACATTGGAGACAACCAAGTCTTGAAACCCACAAAGTTCAAACTGAGGACTCTCATGGTATCTTGCCTTGAAGAAATCATGTACCACACCAACTAGCTCTTCTGCATCTCCATCATTTGGTGTTTCATCATGGTCATTGGGGAAAAACGAAAAGGCCATGGTGACCTTGAAGGTCAACAGTTTGACTTGATTGCCTCTGAGTCCACCTTGCAGGCTGGCATCAGGTCCAGTATCTTGGTCTGTGTTGGTGCTCCACATGACTTCCTCGGGGCAAAGTTCAAACATACAGCTTGGTGGCAACCGGCCCACATGCGAACCATCAGCACAGCGTTTGAGGTCCCTTGTGCAGCCAACATCTTCCTCAAAGACTTCACACCTAAACTGAACAGGGCAAGATTCCAAGATGAACACTTTGGTGCATCCTTCCTTGACCAGCCCGAGACACTGTTTATGGTTCTTTTCATTGACACAAATGTCGCCATTTCCTGGCTTGGGACAAAGCCCTGTGCGATCAGTTGAAGAAGATGCAGCAGTGTCTGCAATTGAGGGCAGCATGGTTGGGAATGCAGACGGGTCCACACAACGGCCGTCGGCCAAAGGGACACCATCACTTCCAATCTCCACACGGAGAGGGAAGCTTGAGTTTGCAAACAAATCTTCCATGCCGCCACAGTCGTCAATAACAGCAATGTTCCTTTCCATTCTGCAAGAATTACATGATCGCCACTCTCCAGTCTCATAGTTTGTAATTGAGGCACTTTCACACGCACCATCAGAGAAGTCTTCCAAACACCCAATGTGAGCATAAAATCCAAACCCCACAAGAAGGCTAGAGTTGTCAACAATTTCCCATCGAGCATTGTTGTAATCAAAATCATATAATTCCGCTGGATCACCACCAGCAATTCTATAAAAAAATCTCAAAGCATGATCACTACAAGGTCCATAGTCTCCAGGCCAATAACTGGAATCAATTATGTCAATATCATAGCAATCTCCTTCAGCTGCTATACCCTGCACAGTGCGATTGGTTATGGAGGGATGTCCACTTGAAGAGATACAAAGTAGAAACAAGAGGATGAGGACCAAGTGATTGCGGAGCATAATGTTTCCTGCTGGGTTGCCGTTCTCTTGTCTTGCTTGCTGTGCTGATGTGTATGGCAGTTTGAATTAATGAGAGCTTTGTGGAGATGGAGTGGTGGTTTGATCGGAAAGCCTTGCTAAGAGCCCAGAGTGAGCTTGCTTGGTGCTAATCTCTGCTAAAGAGTAGTGTCTTGTCTTGGCCCGTCCAGCTCAGTCGTACCTCCAGTTCCACTCCCGAACCTATGATAGCTCGACCCAGGCAGTTCGCTTTACAGCTGCTATCACACCCGCCGATGCTCAAACGAAACTAAGTGCTCAGGTGGCGCCGCAGCACCACCTAGCTAGATGGGCTCTCTTACCGACACCCATCATATCAGGAGCTCCCCAAGCAACGCAACCTCTTTCAAGCAAAGAAGCAAAATTCAGTAAGATCCCTATGCGGAAAGTGATGCACTACCTAATGTGCTCTCGCCCCGTACCGTATCCCCTGGCTATTTTGACCATGGGGTTGAAAATGAGCACAGGAATTTCTGCGTGGGCTGTCTGATCCGGTTGGCAAGTTGAGGGATGAATTTGGTTTGGTGCCAGTTTTGGCCTTCACATCCACAAAACAACCCCAATCAACTAGTATGTCCTCCGGTACGTGGAACTGATTGGTTCGGCACATTCACTTTGCGTTCGACACAGTACAGTAGCACGTCACAGTGTACAACCACAACAGCAGAACTTTGGACAGTCGCTCTTGCAGAAAAAAAGCATAAGGCAGCTATGTTACTCGGAAATTGTTGTGGTTGCTTACTTTCAAGATTTCTCCTCATCCTCCTCCCTAACGAGTGCTTCTGCAAAAGCGATTCCAACGCGGCAAAAGAATTTGGCAGACCCAAAATAGTGATATCCAGCATTGGATTTGGCCATGCTGAGTAGTTGCAGTTCCTCGGGTGAGATTGTCTCGTCTTTGAGAGCATCCATCGTTTGTTGTTGTTCCTCCTGGGACATGGTTTCGCACAGTTCTTTATTGTTTTGCTGCCATTGACGAATCTTGTCTTGTGCTTCACCCCACTTGCCATCGAGTGCGGCAATTTCTTCATCCCAAAATACTTCTGTTCTGACCGCAATGACACGTTTCATGTTTTGGTCTTTGAGTGGAATCTCCATGGCCCTTCGAAACCTGGCATGCAAATGATTGTCGTCAATCGATGCCCCATGTACCCCCATCACCCCAATGACAAAGGGCAAGCTTGGTGTGTCCAGATCGTTTCGAACATCTTGTATGAAGAGTGACAAGAGTCGTCCGTATTCGTCGTATCCTCCCGGTTTGTGTCGATTGGGATATACCGTTCGGTCCACGACATCATTCCATCCTTGGAACCATACAAATCCCGCCAAGTGATACCCTTGTTGGGGATTGTAGGTTGGAATGATGCGCGAAATATCATCCAAGACGCGACGTACGTGTGCGATCATCATGTTGTAGTATTTTCCAGCTTGCTGTTCTTGTTGTGTGACACTACTGGGCGGTCGGAAATCTGTGTGCAACGACTTGCCACCCCATGCCGTCTTGATGAGGAGTATGGGCTGCTGTTGTTGTTGCTTGTTGTCTGCTACTGCTAGTAATTCTTGCATGCGAACGCCAAAGAAGAGTTCCGGTCCAAGTTTTTGCCGATTGGCTCCAAATCCCACAGACAGCTTTCCATGTCTCTCTTCTTGATCATCGGCTCGATCAAAGCCAATGGCCGAGATCCAGACATTGTCGAGCGTCCGAAACAAAGTTGTTCCATCTTTGACCGTTTGAATCTTTGGGAGAAGATCGGCTGTTTGCGGGTCCATGGCAAGATACGGCAAAGTACTCAGTTGAGCCTGTCCTTGCATATTCGACTGGCCTGCAAGAATGTACACCTTGACTGGAAGAGACTCCATCTTAATGCACGATTTCTCTTCTCACTGATCTTTCTCATCGAGCAGAGAAGAAGCCACAGCTTGAAGCTTTGTACGGCACCCTGGTGCTGGCTAACTACCATGCCGGTAGCTACGGCACAGGTACATGTAGGACTATCGAGGCGAGAGCGGCAGCGAGAACACGAGCTTGAGTGAGTCGGGTCGGGTCGTGCTGACAAGATAAAAAGATCCAAAAAGATCCAAAATCCATCGCCAAACAGCTCGCCAAACCAAAAATCAAATGTTGAAGGCCAGTTACCAATACATGTAGAGCTACCGGTACCGTATTAATAAAAGCAAGTAGCTGGGTTCGTAGTCCACTCGAAAACAACTTATCTATTTGCTACGGTACCGTACCAGTACCGGAGGCACAGGCTGCACAGTGCAGCCATACCGAATGAACCAATGAAGGATGCAATATCCCAGTCAGATCTGAGTATCTGGTATTCAATTTATTAGAAGGATACGTACCTACCGGGGGCAACACTTATGTGAAGGTGAGGTAATTAATATGGTTTTAAGCTTGGCCTCTCATCTTGCTGATCGTAGTCTTCAATCAGTCAATATCTCACTTAGCAGACCTGTCTCTACATTGACTTTTTTGAATTTATGCATGATCCCAATTTCTTCGTCATTGGGTTGATAGACAATAGCAAGAGGAACATCCATTGTGTCTACAAGACTCTGCAAAGGACCGTGGATCACTGTCCCTTCCAGAGTGCACTGCAGATTGGCCCAGTTGGTCTGGTTGAAACCGCGTCCTCGCAGCATGCTCCACAATGGCGCGTCTCGGTTGGGGCTTCGGGCAAGCGAATCCGTCAACTCGCGCACTTTGCTTGGGTCATGGGCACTAGCGCCCAGAGCATAGGGCACTAAACGGGTCACATTGCCTCCATCTCGGGGTCCAACACCTGGGCATCGTCCTACGGCTCGATAGTTGACGGCATGGGTTGAATAGTCGTAATCTTTGGAAATAGCACTGGACAAGGCTGCCGTCACAATATCATTGGTGCTCAAGTGCGAACCAGCCTTGGCCAGTTCCTTCTTTTTCTGCTGGATCTTGCGTTGGCTCAACAGGATCTGTTGCGTCTTGCCAAATCCATAAATAGCGTGGATGATGGCGCTCACAATGGTTCCCAACCACCACAACGGATTTCGCACCTGATGCGGACTGATCAAATCGAAGCTAGTTGCTCCGTCGGTACCCCAAACAATAGGTGGTGGTAACTTCTCGCCCAAAAGAATAGCGTTGAGTTCTTCGACAAGTTGATAGTAGGTGGTCCCATCGCCCACTTGGTGGGACAGTCTTGGAGCATAGTAGACGTATCCATCGGGCAATCGCATGACATGAACTCCAAAGACCGGAAGTTGCTGCTGGATCTCTTCGGTTCCTGTTTTGGAGCTTGGGATGAGTGGTTCGATAAAGCTTTGAACGTACTTGGTGAAAGCAATGGTGTCCCCATCCAGCGTGGCTGGGCTTGGAATATCCTTTGGGGGTTCCACATAATGAACAAACCTTTGGAACTTGTGTGGCTCCACAAATACTCCCGCCGTTTTCTTTCCAGTGGTAACGTCCACTTCACTGTTGTGGAGTATTCCGCTTAAGATGGGATTGCGATCTGCCAGTCGGTAGACGGCCGCTTCCAAAGCATCGACACGAGTGTCGTCCCAGCCTTTGGCGATGTTGTGGGTGACGATGGTTGGATTTCCAGGGACATTTATCATTCGAAAGAGCAAGTTTCGATTGACCGTAATGGCCTTGTTGCTAGCAACAGTCATGCTGGTAAAGTTCGAGGCGGCCGTGATGAGTGTTCACCATGAGCGAGGGGGTATCCGTGGGCTATGCAGAGTGGAGCGGCATGGGGGATTTGAGCCTGAGTCGTGTGGCAAAATCAAAAAGATCCAAATCCAGAAGATCCAAAGATCCAAAAAGATCCGAAATATCCGAACGAGCTACAGCACAGTACTAGCTAGTAATACTCCACGGCAAAAATGCAGACAGATGCAAAAATGAGGAAAACCTCCGGAACACTATGGAAACACATTTGAATTTACTACTTAACGTCCCTAGGAGCATGGCTGGAGGATGATTTTGTGATAAAAAAGCGACCAACTTCTGGTTACCAGATCTCAGTCAATATCCAACCAATTGACCTAGTTGTTGAATGGTATTTGTCAGCAATAATGTTGTTTTGAATGACATTGTCTTACTTTGTTGAGATAGTGTAGTTGATAGTGTCATATTGGGTGTTTACTGGAAGGAGTCATTTTTGCACCAAATAAATGTAAGGGTGTATATGTTTCAGTGTGTCTTAATGTCAAGGTGTAAAGGCTGACTGATCTTCACTCTACTAGCTGATGTTAGGTTGCCCGGTTTGTTAAAACTAAGTAGTAAATGAGGACTGTCCACATTTGCGCTCTGGAGTGGAGTGGTAACAGCTGTACTGAACAATGTTTGGATGTTGCTGGAGAATTGCATGGATTTCAACCTCACGCATAGCCTTCTTCAACTGAGCTGTACTACCGAGCTGTCTGACATTACTTGTCTTCAAGGCGACCGTTCTCTTGTTGATAACACCTTTTGCCTTATCAACCTCCGCGAAACCACCCCTATTGAGAAAATTGTATTGGCTAGAACCGATAGGATCATAGGCACTCGCAGGCTTGTCGCGTCCAGGGAAAGTCGGACTGAAGAAATTTACGATCGGGCTGATAGGATCAACCACAAGAAGGTGCACAATGAGCTCGTGCCTTTCAAGTGACAGCAACTCATCCAAGTATTCATCAGAAACCTTGATTTGCCTCTTCTTGAGTGCGTCTTTGATTTCCTGTTTTTCCCAGGCTAATTCGAGTGATACCCTGTCTTCCTCGGCTTCCCAGTCATCTGGCACAGGGCACCTTTTCATGCTTTCACAAAGTCGATGATGAGCGTCAGACATTATGATCGCTGTGTCCGCCTGTTGATAACGAAACCAAGTGAGATGATAGCAAATCCACGCGAACCAAGGGCAACACCTCAACGAGACTTCTCAAAACTTACTCTTGTGGATCAAAGCTGTTGCTCCTTCACAAACGATGAACAGTCGGAAGTGAAGTCGCAATGAATGACTTGTGGATGTGAACGCCTTGCTGCTGTGGGGCAGTGCCCTTGTTCGTCATCGTCTTGTTCGATGTTTGTCGCTGTTTGTCTCGAAAAAGTGAGCAATCTGTGGTTGAGTTTGTAACGGTTAAGAACCAGCTGGCTACTTAGGAGATTTTTTCCGTCGATTCGTGTCGCGCGCATGGTTGATGCGTTCAAATCCCTTCCCTCCCACCGACACAACACGCTCAACAGCAAAACAACAACCTCATCGTCAGACAAAACAAACAATGAAGGCATCATTTGCAAGGACAGACACTGGCTCTTACATGAGGAAGGTCATGATTGCTTTGGCGCGAGCAAAGCGAGAGAATGAACATAGAATCACTCTTCGACACATCAGCGAGCAAGGTCGAGCGGAAAAGAAGACGAAACACCGTATGAAAAGGACAAAGCGCCACAAGGCAAAGGTGTGCCGCAAGAAGAAAGCAAAGGTGTTGGTCCATCCGGCATACGACGTTTTCATGCAATGGAAGGATCAGCGGGAAGAAGAAGAATTGAAGCGGAGTGCCATGCAATACTTTGTTGCTGTTGCTGGGGAAGAAGAGACTGAAGTGAAGCGCCAAGCCAAGATTGACTTTTTTCTTTCCGTTTTTGTTGGGGAGACAAGTAGACAAGAGATGATGGATTATTTCTGTCAATTACCAAAGCCCGAGTATTGGATCGATTTTGAAACAGAAGAAGAAGAAGACCAATAAGTTTCTTGAAGGTTCAGTTCCAATACTCAAGTAGTGGACTGGGTCTCGCTGAAACCCTTCCTCAGGTACAGCGGTAGTCAGGCAGTTCAGGGAGCCTTGGAGTGCCTCAGGAGTATCCAACACCTCCAGTAGGCACCCAAACCAAGGACTTGGACCTGTCAGTCAGACAGGAGGGCCAGCAGAGCTCTCTGCTGGGCCCTTTGGGCCAGCTCACCTCAGGAGCTGGGGGTCTTCGTTATTCAATCGTGCAGTGGCAGTCTGGGAACAGTACTATCTGCTACCTCCTACTGCTTCTGCCCGGCCTCAACAGGATAGGTATCAACTGCTGCGGTATCAAAGGGGCTACAAGCTAATCAGGATCGGTCTCAATCTTTCGTACTATTTTCTTAACTATGGTAGAAAGGATGATCCTTTCTTGCTGCTTTGGCTGGAGATAAGCCAGCTGTGGGTGCTGGAGCTGTAGGCCAGCATAGCTGTTGGAGCTATCTCTGACGGGATCCAGAGCTCTCGCCTCCTAAAAGTTATCGCTCCCCACGAGTGCGTATGGATCCGCTCTCATGGGAATGCCACGATATACGACTAGTTACTAACTAACTATCTACAAACTCTCCCCATGAATGGAACATTCATGGGCCACTCGGCATCGACTGCTAGTGGAACACAATGCGAGATGGGGGATCTCAACTGTGGAGGGACTTGCACTTGGTTGGTTGGTTGCTGGACCAAAGGTAGGCAAAGGGGTTGCCTGCTTCATCAGCATGGCCAGAATAGGTAGGTGTCGGCGGTGCTGGTTGCTATCATAGCTGTTGTTTGTTTTCTTCATATGTAGACAAATATTCGTGGCTTTGCCACAGGCCGAATTCAGCGGTGGCAAGCTCTCAGTGGAGCGGCCTTCTTGCCCCGCAATCATGTTCCTTGGCTGTGGGTCTTGGGCTCGATCGATCAGGAACATGAATCAATTGCCCTAGGGAAAATCCAACGGCGTCACCGGGATTGGTTCATTGCCATGCACTGTGGCCATGGCAGCCAGCTTCGGGGTAGGAAGCACCGTGGCAGTCAGCTCCTGGGAAGGAGATACCATGACAGCCAGCTTCTGGGTAGGAGACACCAAAGCTGCCTTCGTTGCAGGTGCCTGCTGTGGTTGCTCTCCATGGATTTCACCAAGAGCAGAGGGTATCTGCTTGGTGGTCCTCCTGGCAAATGGACTGGTGATGGTTGGACCTAGACTGGGCCTAGTATCCGAAGACCATGTCACCTCATTGGGCACAAGTCTTGTGGCACTGGCTGTGCCATAGTTTGGTGGTTCTGTGGGAACCAGGCTGGGGACCTTGGGCGTCACTGTGGGTGATGGACCACTAGGTCTCCTGCCAATGTTGGTTGTGGTGGGACCCTTGTGTGCTCTGTGCCTTGGAGCAGGTTGCTTGGGGGTCACCACTGTGTGGGTCTGCTCATGTGCTCCTGGTTGTAGAGCTGACAGAGTGAGAGCCACACTTGGTCTATTTGGTTGTGCAACTGGAATGTTGTTGGCGCCAACTCTGGAAGCTGGTTGCTTATTGGCTGTAGGCTCGGCCATGATCTCCCCAGAGGTTGGATGACTACTAGGGCTGGCAAGAGCTGGAGCCGTGGCTACATTGCTGGGCATCTGGTTGGTAGCCGATAGGGCATTTGTCAATCGTTGTTGGATGCCAATAGCATCGTGCTTGGAACGAGTGGTCCTGTGATGCTTTAGGTTCGCGTGGACAGGTTGCCTTTCAGCGACTGCAAGGGCTGCTTCCAGTTGAGTTGTCATTTTGTCCTCAAAGGCAAGGAGCTGGGCACTCATGTCTCGTTTGAATGACTCGAGGTCATCTCTCATGAGGTTGAGTTGGCGGGCCACACCGTTTTGTTGTTGTTGCAAGGAGACCTGGCTGTCTCGTATGTCTGGGGTATAAACGTTGTGGTTGTGGGCCCTTGGAGCGTTTGGTCCGTGGTTGGAATCATAGTGGTCTGATTCCCTCAAAGCCAATGGAAAAGCTGGGTGAACACTGGAGCTGTAGGTAGCCAGCTCTGAAATCTCCCCATCACCCAGTGATGCATTGGGAGCACCAGCGAGGGCAGAGGGTTGCAAGCGGGCAACCAAGGGAGTGGCGTTGGGCAGCTGGTGGTGAGCTGCTGTAAGGGGCAAAGGACGAGTGCCTGGCGGCTCCCCATAAGCTGGCTGGGAAACTGCCTGGTGGTTGGGGTGCCTGGTCCTGGAGGCGGCTACGTTCTGCCTGTGCTGCCTGGCCCTGTAGTCGCTACCGGTAGCTGCTTGCTGCATGTGTTGTTCCATCGGTCTAGCCCTGCTGTAGGCCATCATGCGCCTAGCAATATCGTCCACGTCAAAGTTGGGCGACTGGATCATATCGAATATGGGGATGTTTCGTGGGGACACTGGTGACACAGGTGGTGCCGGTGCCTTCTCAAGGATCGCAAAGATGGATTGGTGCTGGCACGGGCATCGGTCTGAGTATTGGCACCAGCATTGGTCTGAGTAGCTAGACATTGTGCCTCTTGTGCTTACAAGGAAGAGGTGTGTACTGGTTGTACTGGGTTTCAGCTCTTGTGGCAGTGTAATAAAACCTTGACTCAACTGTAGTTGGGAAAACACAAAGGGGACTTCCAGGGACCTTGGTAGGGGTCTTGGAAATTCAATCTATGTATGTTGGAATAAGGTGGGCCAGGTACAAGGGCTGGAACCTGCTTCCTGAATTGCTGTGGTGCTGCAAACTGCCTTGGTTTGTGGTGATTTTCCACACTGGAAGCTAGCTTACTGGGACCAATGAATCTCCCCACAAAAGCTCCCAAAATCCAAGGTGAGCTACCCACTGACTAAACAAAGGATGGCGGATCCACTGGTAACACTTTCAGCCAAGCGAATTGACCTCTTGGTTGCCTCGAGATGGCTCCGAGTTGGCTCTGCAATAGGTGGATCCCACTCGAATCTTCGTACGGAGCGCGAATTTCAATGACTCGACCACGTAAAACCTTTAAAATGTGAGCCG